AGGATATGTTGAACAAGTACTGATTCCTCTAGCTCGGTCATTTTCCGTGAATTGGCTAAAATATCGCGTCGTGAAGGTATACCAAGCAAACGTCGACCTAGCTTGCGGTGGTCTACAGAATAGGTCCTGGCAGCAGCTCGAGCACGTAAATTTGGGTCTTTTTGCATAGCTTGGATAGCTAAGACTAACCGGCTTTCGTCATTTTTCAGAGGCATCCTTCGTTGTAGAGAAATTTAATATTTCGTGGAGGTGTGGTGGGGTCGCCGGGTTTTGGCCGGTTCGCTTGTTTGGCCGGTTCGCTATACATGCACGTTATACCTTTTCCTTATCTTTTATAATAGTATCTATATAATACTAATTAAAGAAGATATCTACTTTAGTTTACTATATTAGTTATACCTAGTCTAGTATTAACTATAATAACTAATGAGTAAGTAATAGTTTCTAATACTTTTAAGCTAGAGTCTACTAACTAGCCTAGTCTAACTAATCTTACTTATATACTACTTATACTAAGAAAAAGAAAAATTATAAGAACCTATAGGTTTCCTTTAGATTCTACCTAAAAAATATTAGTAACTATAATAGTCCTTAGTTTATCTATATTACTTATACTATTTAGACTTATTCTAGTAATAGCATTAAATAGTAAGAAGTTATATTTTACTTAAAATATACTAGTTTATAATTATTTTAGTATAGTAGCTTATACTAATCTTTATAAGGCTCTTAAAACTTAGAAGTCTTTAAGACCTCTTTAGAAAAATAACTACTTTTATTATAAATATACTACTCTCTACTATATTTATATTATTAACTATTATCTACTAGAAATATTATAGCTAAAGTAACTTATACTATTCTTAAAGTAATTATATAAAATAGTATTCTATAAGTTTCTTCTAGTTCCTACTACCTTTCTATTACTTACTACTTTTAGCCCTAGTAGTATTCCTCCTTCTATCTTATAACTTAGTTTATACTAAGAAAATTAAAGGATATTATAGGTTCTACTACTTTTCTAGTAGTCTTTAAGCTTTAGGAGTAGTAGTATAGTTTTTAGTATTTTTTAAGCTTTCTCTAGTATATTTAAAGTAGTTCTTATAAAAGTAAATAAATTAATATAATAAATTAATAAGTTAATAAAATAAAATTAAAACTATTTACTTTATTACCTATTTACTTTATTTTATAACTCTTATAATTTTTATAATTTTTATTATATTCTGAAATTAAAATCCTATATCTTAATTCTTTTTCTTTTTTTTATATAACTTATAAACTATTATATATCTTAAGATCTTTATATTTAGTCTTAAAGTTATTTATAGCTATAGTATTCGATAGGTTTTCTAAGGGTTCTTATATTAGTTTATAGTATCCTAACTACTTTACTAATACTTATTTAACTTTCTTTCTTCCTTTAGCTTTATTCTTAATATATAATATTTCTTCTATTTACTACTTTTTATATATCTAGAATAACTTAGATTCTAGTTATTTATTATTAGTTTCCTACTCTAGTAAAGGATCTTAATATGACGGAGCTGGATTTCATTTGACAGGATTTCATTCGCTTGGCCAAGCACGTGACGAGACTTGGCATTGGAACAACTTAAATAACTTCGCTCCTTTCAGATTCTCTTCTCTCTTTACTTTGATTTCTTCGTACCTACGGTTTTAGTTCTAGCAATTGATTCAAAAGCTGTATACACTTTATCCTTTGTTGGCATCCGTGACACTTAACTTACTTAATATAAGAGATCTATATAGAATATAGGGTAAATATTACTAGGGATCCCTAATAATTATATAAAGACTAGTAATAATACTTTTTTAACTATATATTTTATATACTTATAGTCTAGACTTCTTTTTAGGTAGTTTATATAATAGTTATATAAGTCTAGCTATATTTTATTACCTTTTTAGTAAACTAGTACTAGAGTTCTATTTTTATTTACGCTTTCTTCTTACTTTTAGGTAGTATCTACTATTTTTATTTAAATATAAGGTAGTAATTTCTTTTATCTTACCTGTAAATACTTTAGTCTATTTAGGAGTAGGTAGTATTATATTTATATTAGGCTTTATTCTTAATAGAATAGGAGAAGGTATATTATACTTATATATTATAAAGAATAAGCTTATTCTAAGGCCTACCTAATAGCGTCTATTAAGCGCTGGTTAAGCTATAGGGAGCTAACGCTTCTAGTCGAACTATTCTTAATTAATAAAGTTCTAAAGATATACTTATACCTTCTAGTTTAGCCTTTCTAGTCCTTTATTATATACTTATTAAGTAGTAAAAGGTTTTCTAGAATATACTTATTTAGTTTATACCTTTATTACTAGTAATAGTATAAAGTATACTATAATATTATACTTAGTATTCTATAAACTTTTTAGTATATTCCTCTACTTCTATACTAGGTATTACTTCTAATATAATAGTCTTACTTAATTAGTTCTTAATAACCTAGAAATAGTAATTCTGTTAGGAATTTAGTGTAACGAATACTCAAACTGGCTAACTAGACTTGGCTGGGTGTTCGCTGGTTGGTATGCTATGATAAGAAGAAGACTATCGGGTTGTTCACTTGGAAGTGAACTCGTTACTTGTATCAAAGATGTCAAACTAATATGATAAGATTGATAACTAAGTTGAGCACGAAGCTCCTATCTAATGGCAGACGTGCCAGTCTTATATAGAACCTCTGTTCTCCACTGGATCATATGGATCATGGTAACAACTTACTGNGATAAGATTGATAACTAAGTTGAGCACGAAGCTCCTATCTAATGGCAGACGTGCCAGTCTTATATAGAACCTCTGTTCTCCACTGGATCATATGGATCATGGTAACAACTTACTGATCCTACTGATCCGTTCCTCTGGATCTACTGGATCACTTGGATCATTCGATGATCCTGCTGATCCGACTGATCCAATCACGTGATAACGAACTCTATGAAATCCTTGGATACTCAGCTAGCCTGAGTAACCATCCAATATGTTATAACTACTTCGAGGTGTGTTTGTTCTGTCAGGACTCCGCCTGGACTTGCTCTTCACGCGCTAGCACGTGATTCGTGACAGTAGGTACAGGAAGAAACGCGATAAAAAGGTATTACGATATTTATTTAGGTAGATTTCTTAATAGATTCCCTATAAGTAATTTAGCTTAGTATATTTTGTAAGTAGCCTTATAATTCTACTTCTACTTACGCTGTTCTATAGAGTAGTATATAGTACGAGTAGGTATAAAGGCGGAGCTAACTTTTCCTTTAGAAAGTAGCGTGTAACAAGGGCAGGGATAATGATAGTAAAATCGTGTTATTCCTACAAGCAGGCTATTTAAGTCGTAAAATCTTGAAAATAGAAGTACTTCAAAGCACCTATGCGTACGAGTGCGAAGATGCGGGGTTGAAGGGGTGTGCGGTTGATTCCGCGAGAGCGACAAATCTGAACAGGGGGAGAAACCGGGGTCTTTGTATGCCTGAATCCCTACGAGTAAAGGTCCGAAGGTAAATAATGGCGCGACTACTTACTTCGTACTTCGAAGTAGGTGTATGGATGGCCTACGGTGGTAATCTGACTCTAAGGAGGAGGTCAGAAGGTGGATAGCACTAAGAATAGCCAAAGTTTGCAAGACTCCTTGTTGGGCCATTTACGGAGTAGAGAACAATTCCCTACGAGCTACCGCTTATCACGGTCTTCTACGCATCAAAAGAGGGTCTTCTAGAAATAGAAGCATGGAGTAGTGGGTAGGAGCTTCCAGTTCACACCGTTTCGTACTCCACACTCACACCCTAGCCTCCTCCTTAGAGACTGTCCAGACGAATTACCACTGTACTTCGTAGGTATAATGTGCAGGGGGCTCATAACTCTGCCCGACAAAAATGTGATTACTGTATTTGACCTCTCATTTTCGGTCTCTTGGGGGTTTACCTGTCCGAATAGGAGTTGGAGTTACTTTCTTGTTGCTCATATCGGTGTTATGGAACTTCGGCAACTTCCATCCCGTAAGCGATAATTTTAACGAGGGGGTGAAGGTTTGCGCCTTGCTTGGGCTCGATGCTTCGTGCTTAGCAATCCACACCTTCATTAAAGGAAGATTTCACAGCATTATGAAAAACTCGTTGAGATTAATTAATTCCATCCATTGTATGCAGCCAGTGCCAAATCAAGGGGCAAAAGTAATGCGTTGGCAAAGCCCCAACAGCAGAGAGTTTTCTGGGGTAAAGAACATCGAACTCAAACGGGTGATCTGCCGCATATCTGATTAAAATCGCGAGATAAGGCTTGAATCCTCTGCTTCTAGAAGAAAGTAAGCTTTTGTACCTAGAATCTTTAATTTAAGCTTACCATGGTCCATACTCTTGGAGGGTTCCGAGGATCGCCCATAGGTACCCGTTGTCATCGAGAGCCTCCTGACCGTTGTTACTTGGCGTACAACGTCTGACTTTACAATCTGGTGGAGGAGTATATATCTGCTGAAGATTCCCTTCAATGTTTTCCTTTCCCACAGCTCTCACTGGACACTCCCTTAACCCTAATAAACGACATTCATTTAATATATTAATTCTACTTGTACATTTTAACCGATAAAATGCAATTTCCAACCCTTATCGCCATCGCCGCTTTGGCAACCACGTACGTACAGTTCATTCATCCCATCTCTTCATCGAAGGGAAAAGACAACTAACACCACTTTGTAGCGTCATCGCCGCGCCTGTTGACAACGTCGAAAAGAGATTCCCCCCTAAATCCAAGTGCACCTCCGTACACCCACAAGGCACCGCACCACCGGCAATCTACCCAGCAAAGATGGGATTGCCAGGAGCCTTCCCTCCACAACCAACCGGTGCATCCCCCAACTTCCCTCCACACCCAGCTGGGGCATTCCCTGGCTTTCCTCAAAAGCCAACCGGAGACTGGCCAGCAAAGCCAACCGGCGCGTTCCCTGACTTCCCTCAAAAACCACCCGGAGAGTGGCCAGCAAAGGCTCCAGGAGCTCAGTGGTGTGAGAGGTCCCTCCATCATGACACATGAATCTGAATACGAATATGAGAGCTAATACCATCATTTCTTATAGATGACCCAACCAAAGCACCACAAGGTCCACCACAAGGTCCACCACAAGGTCCACCACCCGCCTGGCTATGGGGAAACGCACCAAAGCCAAACTTCGGGGGACCAATCGCTTGATTGCCACTCAGCATACCTCTTGCCGAACTGAAGGGGGTCATATCTATTGGCGGTCCGTTTGCGGGTTACTCCATGTGATGTGGTCCTTGATGCTCGGTCACTACGTCTTGGAAAGACAATTATTAAGTAGCAAGTATTTTTAATATGTAATCATTATTTTCTGAAGCAATTGTCCTGCAAAATGCTTCAATCATGGAGTACGTGATGAGGTCTTGGAGTGGGTAGGAATTCTTGATGTGACTTGGATATTGCGGATATTATATTGGGTTCAGAGGTTGGGTAACTTGACTTAGTAGATCCCAGTTAGAAAACGCTCTATCATTCCTTTCAACAACTAGACCCTCTGAGAATTCGGGGACAGACATTGTTACTTTATGCCAAACAGTGAACAATTCGAGCACAAAAGTATTGGGATCGTAGGAATACGATGATTATACTTCATCCTCCTCCTCAACTAAGCGACTATATTTTTCCTCATAGCTTAAAAACCAAGATACCCAACTCCTACAAAATTTCCACGAGAATTCAAGCCACCCAAGCATTCCTCAAGCTATCTCTCTATATTACATCGCCTTCGCCTACCCTCCCTTTATCTCTGTAAACTACCTGTAAGTACTTACTCGTTTCGCCCTATTACTCCTCCTTATAAACACTTCCGCACTATCCTATCTTATAAGTCTCTTCTATCATACCCCTATCCTCATATCCCCCTTCTCACCCTTTCCCTACTCCCCCTGCCTGGGTAGGTAGATAGCTAAACAAGACGCGTAAATAAGTAATTAAAACCACCACCATATATATTTAGTACATTTAGGATCACCTTCAAACGAACGCTATCTAGCTCCAATAAAACTTCGTACCCCTTATAACTATAACCATCCCCTCCCCGTCTTACTAAAGATATCAGAGTCCGTTCGTCCCTGTTTAGTGTATCACTAGTAAAAATCGGATATTTGTATACCCCATTTGGTAGTAAAAAGACGGGTATTTTCGGAGATAAGTCTCACAGGGAGATTTCGTAGGTTTAAGTGCTAGTAGGGAAGAAGTCGTTGCATTTGAAATGATATTAAATGATAGTAATAAGTTCGGATTCGTAAAATTGAGAGAGTATGTAATTTCACTAGCACAGTCTTTGAGAATAAATGTCTTAGAATTGGATGGATGGATGGATTCGCTTCTTTAAGGGGAGATGATAATAAGCGAGGGGTCTACTCTAACCTACGGAGTAAGTATAAAGATTTATTCACACCCTACCCTAACCTACCCTACCCTACTATCCATACAAACAGCGATTGACACTCTGACATAGAAAAAATTCACAGCAGCACAACAAAGAACCCCAGGAAATATCCCAAGAAACTGCGTGGTAGATTGTAATGGTATCTCATTCCTCTCAAATCCACACAGTACCTCCTGAAAATCCGATACCATGAACCCATCGACAAGTAAGCGAAGTAATAACCACTGTTCCTACTGTACCTATCCAATACGCGCTAACGGCAACGTATAATTCCCCGTAGTATTAGGAGTAATCGACGCCAACAACTTGCCAAAATCAGGAGTTCCTATAATCGAATTAGCTTTATTCATTCCTCTCATTCCCTCTCTTCCCTCCCTCCCTCTCAAACCCCTTCCCCCTTTTTTTTAAAAAAAAAAAACAAACTCACCCATCCCAGTAACCGGATCCCACCCCACCGTCGCATTCCAACTCGCATACGGCACAAACGGCGAAGGCAGTCCCGAATAGATATCCCGTCCCGTACAGCCTCTCGACCCACCCGTCATGATGTCTTTGAATCCGTCTTTACCCAAGGAGTAGATCCAGGGGTTTAGGAAGCCCAGGGGGGGAAGGGAGGAAGAGAGACGGGCGTTGTTGAGGAGGCTTATTATGCCTGCTATTGTGGGGGCGGAGGCGCTGTGGGTGTTAGATTGTTGTGTGTTAAAGGGGGGAGGGCAGAGGGGGGGTAAGTGGTGTAGGAAGGGGAGGGAAAATACCTAGTCCCACCAACGGGTATGGTTTGGAATGCACCAGTAGATGTCTTCTCCACGACCGCAAAGTTATACCCCTNAGGGGGGAGGGCAGAGGGGGGGTAAGTGGTGTAGGAAGGGGAGGGAAAATACCTAGTCCCACCAACGGGTATGGTTTGGAATGCACCAGTAGATGTCTTCTCCACGACCGCAAAGTTATACCCCTGTGCCGCGACGTCAGGGAAACCGCGGCCGGCGGGGTTATACAGACCAGTCCATTGGTCGCCCAGGATATCGAGGTAGTTCTTTACGGCGGCGTCTTGGTAGGCTGGTCGTGGGTAACGGTCGCTGAAGCCGCCCGAGGAGAAGGAGATTGCGCGCTCGGGGACGTGGTAGGTTCCTCCGACCTAGATATGTTTTTATTAGAAAGGATTTCAGGGTTGGGGAAGGTGAGGGGAGAGGGGAAGGGGGGGTATACAGAAGTGAGGTAAGGACAAGCAGCTGGGAAAATGGGCAGGAATCTCGTGGTGTTCTTTCCATCGTTGGTTTGGCATGCGCTTCCTACGCCGGTATCTCCACTACTGAAGATGACGGAAACACCTCTCATGCCCAGCTGTCCAAACATGTTGCATACGGTATTCGAATACGATTCTGGAACACTCTGTTCATCTTCACCATAAGAGGTGGTGAGAGTCTGAGGAAGTTCCTCATCACTAAGTCCCAACATGTACGTCAGAAACTCCAGATACGGCTCATTCTGATTATCATCCAGCGTCGGCTGATCCAGATCCGGAACCAGAGGGCCCCGACCTGCTGTACTATAGTAAGTGATGTTTTGTCCGTAGCCGAGGGACGCCGCGTATTGGATATCCAAGTTCGCTTCCACGTCGTCGAAGGAGGAGATCTGATCGGATTTCCCGCCGTTGACGAGGGTGTAGGTGAAGTTTTGGCCCTTGGCGTAGGGAGCATAGAGAGTGAAGAATTGGTCGAGCTCGTCGTACTTGGCGTATTGATCGAGATAGCCCGAGACTCCTAAGAGAGAACCTGCTGATGGATCGGCTTTGTAGTCTCCTACATTGTAGAGTGCTCTGAGACAAGCTGGTGTAATTGCAGTATCGCAGGAGGGGTCGATTGCCAACTTAGGGACAGCTGCTGCTGGTGCTTGAGGAGTGATTTCGAAGTCTTCAATAATGAATGCTCTGCTGGCATCTGCTTTCATCTGACCGAAGCGAGTAGTTGGCTGGATCATTGCAATATGTGGAGCAACATTTTTCGGGACTGAATAATGAAGGGTTCGAATCTTCTTGGTCTGCTGTTTATCCGCGTCCTGAATGAAGTTCTCAAACTTCGTATCCAGCATTTTCTCGGCCGTCGAAACAGTCGCGAAGAAGATGATCCATTCCCCGTCATTCTCGATATCGGTAGCAGCAATACCGGAATCTCGTAGCCAAGTGAGGACAGCTTCGGTGGACTCGGCTTTGGGCTTGATGAGTGCCTTCACTTCGTGACGCTTGAGATGTTTGCCGTATTTTGGATGCTTCGGATCGGAGACTGCGAATAGTGTCTTTTCGAAAAGATCATGGTTGGGTTCTTGAAGGGCAATTCGTAGCTTTAGGCGAGTAGATGGGTTGGGGGCATCGGCTTTTGTCCATCCTTGGGGAATTGTACGTAGTGCCTCGAATACCTTCAATGATGAGGATGTTCGTGGTAGCATACCAAAGGCCGCTGGGTTTGGAGCAACGACACTGCCAATTGTAACTGCAATAGCAGTCAAAACGAAAAAGGACCTCATTTTTAATTAAGTGTGTTTTTCCCCGCTACAGATACTTGGGAAGCACTTGTTGTAGAGAAGCTCAATTGCAATACCCGCCCGGAAACAAATCTGGCAGAAAGAATGCAATTGCTTTCACAAGAAGCATTAGAGAAGGAAAAAAATGATAAAGACGAAGGCCAGTTTCTTATAAGTGAACGCATGATGGCCTGTGATCAACAGAGGCAGGTACAACTTCACTCATCCGAATGGATAACCAAGACCGACTTGGCGACCATTTAATCTCTATCAAGTGTTCAGGCTGCATGCAAGATTGTATGCCGTCCCCAAAACAACCCAATTGAATGGAACCAGAGTACGATCTGGAGCAGGGGAAGTGGTGATCTGCGGCACGGGTGTAGATAAACTGTGGTGAAAGACAGGGAATAGCAGGAGTTTGTTGCTGGTGGGATGGAGTATTATGGAGCATCTCGATAACGAGAATGGAAGGCGGTTATCGTGAGGAGTAAGGAACCTGGTAGAGAGCACCGAGGAGGTAATAATGGTTGTACCTGATTATTATTGCCACAACACCACTTTTGTCGTTCCGTTTAATGCAGGATCAAGCCAAGAACTCGGGCCTCCTTCAGGTTTTTATATTGTGTAATTTAGATCAAACGAACAGAATCAAGACAAACTAGGTAAAAGACGCGCGAGAGAGAAAAAGAAATGCAGCGAAGACGATTGGCTGTGAGGGAGGGGTTGTAGACGTTCCTAAGAGCCTAAGAACATAGTAGTGGGATCATACTCCCCACTCAGGACTGAGTTATCTCATAGAAAGCACCCGAGAAAAACCATGAATAGCACAACATCCGAAGACATGCGTTGCTGTCAAATTCAAAAAGCAACGCAGCTGCTATGTGCGGAATTGATCAAATATGTATCTAGTAAACACAATAAATAACCTTAGAAATAAGCTTAATAGCGAGAAGCCAATATTACTCACAAGTTTGTAATAGAGTTTGTTAGGTTTATCTCCTCAGGTACGAGTACTGACCCATTATTATTCGACATGACGACATTATTATTTATGTCCTCTCATCCCCTGGTGTACAAGTACCCATCTTAAACCGTTGTACAGTACAGACGGCAGAAAGTTTCTCCGACGAACCCCAGATCTGCGAGTGATCAGATTGATACAGATAAGACAATGCAGTTATGGTAAGAGAAATAATAATGTAAGTAAGAAAGCTGTATTTCGGTATCGATATCGACGTGATTCAAATAGACATCCACAACACCCGTAAGCGACACCCCAGACCCTTAGGTACAGTACACACCAGGCTCGTCCCGTCTCCCGAACTCCCTCTACGTTCGCCCCCTCCTCCCACAACGCAGTTATCAACCCCACCACTCCACACCCTCCACACCCTTCGTACAACCCCAAATTCCCGTGACAACCACCCAAAACCACCCCAACCAACCTTGAACCAATACCAAAAATGACCACCACCGATCAAATCTCAGTCCTCTTTGTCTGCCTCGGCAACATCTGTCGCTCCACGATGGCAGAGGGGGTCTTCCGATCACTAGTCTCCAAGCCACCGTACCAGGCGATGATAGCGAAAGTTGACTCCTGTGGGACGGGGGCGTATCATATTGGATCGAGTCCGGATTCGAGGACCATGTCGACGTTGAGGGAGAATGGGGTTGGGGATTATGTGCATGCTGCTAGGAAGGTGGGTGGGGTTGAAATTAAAGAGTTATTTATTGGGGATGTGAGGTTCGGTGCTGATGAGTTTGTAGATTCGGAAGGAGGATTTTGGGGAGTTTGATTATGTTTTTGCTATGGTATGGGGGTTTCTTTCTTCCTTTTTTTTTATGTTTATTTTTGTGAGGTGAGATGGGATATTTTCACCTGATCAACTTTTCAGAATCTGTCTGGTCTGAAATGAGGCTCTATCATTTATTTCGAGCCTCATAAGAGGTTCAAACTTCATTATTGGGTCTCAGCTGACCGACTCCCTCAGGATCGTGACAACCTCCGAGATCTCCAAAGAATCCACGAGCGAAGCGGCGGCAAGGCCAAAGTCATGCTCTTCGGTGAGTACGCAGGCAAGAAGAAGGCTGAGGAAGTGGATGATCCGTATTACGGGGCTCGGGATGGCTTTGATATTGCCTATGAGCAGTGTATGAGGTGAGATACTCACTTGTTAAGTTGCTATCGGGTAATGCGTACTTTGCGATTCGTTTTGCTTACCTATGGACATCAGGTTCAGCCATAATTTCTTGAAGGAAGTTTTTCCGGATGTTAAGCCGTGAAACTATTGAAAAAAGGCGGGCGAATTCGGATGACGTGAAATACTGGTAGGAAGCGGGGAGTTCAGTAGTTCTGCAGCAGATTTGTTTGCCACAAAACATGTTTGTACTGTGGGGTACTTGATAGATCGACTTGATGGGAGGGGTTGAACTAAGCCTTGTGGTAGCAGCGCAAGAAGGCATGAATTTAGAGCTTGAAAAGGGCGACCTTCTCGCCTCATCCTCACGATGGGCGAAATGAATGTACGAGATTCGAACGTCTTCAAAAGGTTGCCTCTGTTAGTCTATTGAGACTGTGATACAAAAACGTGACTCGGTAATCGTATTTTAAAGCCATGGCACGGAACGAACTATAGACTCGGCATCACAAACAAAGTCGGTTTCCTGTTCTTGCACAGCCTCGATAGGCAAGCTGAGGAAGGCTGCCCGGCTGCAAAGTTTCGAAGGGTCCTGTTTGTTTCCTGAACTCTCGTTCCTCTCAAGCCTCCCAAGCCTCTCCCCCTCTTTAGCGAGGTAGCCCTGACGCACGATCAGCGGGGAAGTGGTGAATGGTTGGACCGCTGAGTCGAGTACTCAGATTTCCAGAATGTGGCTAGTGTTGTAGTGGGCAGTGATTCGTGACTTGATTCGTATTTTCGTGGCGGGGAAGATGGCTGTGCATCATGATTCTAGGATGATGCTGTGAATGTTGCTATTTCGGTGAATGGTTTTAGTGCTAACGGATGCACCATCACCACCCATTCAGAAGGTTGGAGAGCCGAAGCGGCACATATGGATTTGCTGCAAGTAGGGACTTGAGTGCGGAGTAAGAGTATTCTTATCCTGCAACCACTCTGGAAATAAGTTGAAGTCTTTCACAAGCAACGAAGGATCGCATCTTCCCCTTAACTCAACCACTCGCACACGAGATCTAGTCAGGGGCGCGGTTAAGGTTCGCTTTGTCTGATGATCGTTCATCCCACGACACGACCCACCTGTTTCTCTTCACTTGGCTGCTCTTCTCACTTCTTATACCAGAACGAGTAAACAAACACTCAACTTGCTCTCGAGATTGATTTGGGTGACACCGTTGACACGACCCGACGCGGCAACGGTCGAGGAAATCTACAGCGCAGCACAGCCAGCAATACCTCCGTACTGTACAGGCCACAGCGGCACCACTGCTTCAACGTCATCGGCAGATAGATTATCTCAACTGCGCCTCTTGCCGGTTTTGTAGGGAACGAGGCCCCTGTCGTTCGTGTCTGAAACGTCACTCTCCCCCCTTGGCACTTGCATCAGCACTGAACACAGAACACCACCACCAGAAACAGCAGCACTGAGCAAGCGGAATCCCTGTGGATCCCTGTGGTCACCTCAACGGGGGAATAGCGGGAAGCGACAGCACTTGGATATCCTTCGAATGAAACAAGTCTTCTAGGGGCGAATCTCCCACCAGGACCACCACCACCACCACTACAGTGACCGCAGTGACCACTACACCACTTCTCCCAGTAAAACTAAAAACTGCCCACCGTGCCCGCCGACCGTCATTCGCATCGCGTCTAATTTTGGTCCATCTGGTCTTTTGCGCATTATCCAGAGACCCAAAGACCACCATCCCCAATCCTCACCAACCCTTCTTCCTCGCAACCTCCCAAACTCAAAAGAACTTCGGACGAAAACAAATTTGTGCTGCGCACTGAGGGGCATCGTCACGTCAAACGAAGGGAGAAACCAGAAACGAATCATCTACGCCCATTGAGTTCAAGTATTCAACATCTGCTGCAGCCACCTGCGCATACATTCCTCTCCTGCCCCCTCGGAGAATCACGACCCTCCCCTTTTGGGAACATCTCAAACCATGTCATACAATCGACTAGGTACGTGATACTTTGGATTTCTGCAATCCCCTATTTGTGAATGTTGTGAAGGTTTCGTGGAAATTTGTCCGTGTTTTGTCCTGATCATATCTAATTTCCCGCTTCCCTCCATCAAACACGCCACTTCAAAACAGCGAGAGGAAGATTCTTGGAGCGACGCAGGCCGACATCTTTCTCTTAAGCATTCTACAGACTCTGGGAGTCGGCAACTCTTCGTTCGCGAAAAGCGCGTCGTGTTGTTTTCAGTAGCTTTCTAACCGCTCTTTCACCTATAGATCATCCTGGCCAAGGCCGTCAAGACGAATACTACGATATGCAGAATCACCCAGGTCGAACTCCATCGCCGGGCGATCCAAGACATCACGGCTATCAACTGGAGGATTCCGCGCCCTTATATGGAGGCAGACCGGCTGGCTCTCCCGCTCCTCAGAATCTCGAGATTCCAATGGGTCCTGGAAGATATGGCACACCAAGCGATCGGTTGCAGGCACAACCTACTGTAAGTTCCTATGGTGCTCTGGGAATATGCTAAATCGAGAGGATACGCGCTGATTTCTTGAGATAGTACTCTGTAGAGAACATCAATAACTCGTACGGACATAATGAAGAATTTGAGCAACATCACCCCCTCGATCCCACCCAAAACTACCAGCAAGGTTTTGCCATAAACCCACAACAACACCAAGATGCCTACTACCAGCAACCTTATCAACCAACTCCAGTCGGCCATGGTCAACCAGGGTATTTTGACGATGACGACAACCGACCTATGCTTCAGTCAGACACTAGCTACGGGCCAGATCCACATCAAATGGATGAAGAATATAAAGATTATGATGGAGCGGCGACGCCTTCACCAATGCCTGGCCCGGGGCTTAAGAGATACAAGACTGTCAAAGAAGTACAATTGTTCAACGGAAACCTCGTACTTGATTGTCCCATACCTCCAAAGCTTCTAAATATGGTTCCACACGCCCAACCACCAGAGCGAGATGAGTTCACACATATGCGATATACAGCAGCCACATGTGACCCAGGAGAATTTTTCGAGGAGCGATTTACCCTACGTCAGAAACTTTTCGCGAAGCCTCGGCATACAGAACTCTTTATCGTAGTCACCATGTATAACGAAGACGATGTTTTATTTGCACGAACGATGAGCGGTGTTTTCAAAAATATCGAGTATATGTGTTCGCGAAAAGACAGTAAGACATGGGGCAAAGATGCCTGGAAGAAGATTGTGGTTTGTGTGGTGAGCGATGGTCGTGCTAAGATCAACCCAAGAACAAGAGCTGTTTTGGCAGGAATGGGTGTTTACCAAGATGGTATTGCCAAGCAAAAGGTTAATGGAAAGGACGTGACGGCCCATATCTACGAATATACGACACAGGTATCGATAGGAGTGAAGAAGGATATTGTTGAGCTACGACCAAAGCAGCAACCAGTACAGATGCTATTCTGCTTGAAGGAAAAGAATCAAAAGAAGATCAACTCTCACAGATGGTTCTTTTCCGCATTTGGTCGTGTTCTGGATCCAAATATCTGTGTTCTGCTCGATGCAGGTACCAAACCAGGGAAAGACTCGATTTACCAATTATGGAAAGCTTTTGACTTGGAGCCCATGTGCGCAGGAGCTTGTGGAGAGATCAAGGCCATGTTGGGAACGGGAGGAAAGAATTTAATCAACCCCTTGGTCGCAACTCAGAACTTTGAGTATAAGATGAGTAACATTCTCGATAAGCCACTGGAATCCGCATTTGGTTTCATTTCGGTTTTACCAGGAGCTTTCTCAGCTTACCGTTATGTTGCCTTGCAAAACGACAAAGCCGGAAATGGACCTCTTGAAAAGTACTTTGCAGGAGAGAAGATGCACGGCGCCAATGCTGGTATCTTTACAGCCAATATGTATCTTGCAGAAGATCGTATTCTCTGTTTCGAGTTGGTCTCAAAGCGAAATTGTCACTGGATTCTTCAATATGTGAAATCTGCTACTGGAGAAACCGATGTCCCTGATCAAATGGCTGAACTTATCCTGCAACGGCGAAGATGGTTGAACGGTAGTTTCTTCGCCGCAGTTTACGCCCTGGCCCACGGTTACCAAATTTTCCGAAGTGGACACAGCTTTTTCCGCAAACTTGCGTTCTTGCTTGAATTCACATACCAGACCCTTAATATGATCTTTGCTTGGTTCCAACTAGGTAACTTCTTTCTGGTTTTTCACATCTTGACTAAATCGCTTGGTGGTCCTGACCTGTTGGGTAATGTTGGTGTTATACTTGGAGTCGTCTTCGAATGGTTATACGGAGTTACGCTTCTCACCTGTTTTGTTCTGGCTCTTGGAAATCGACCTCAAGGATCCAATTTCGCTTATATGTCTATGGTTTATTTCTGGGCTATCATCATGATGTATGTATCTCCCAAGCTCTCTATACGTGTGGTTACTCATGTTCATTCTTAGATATTTGATGTTCGCTTCGATATTCATCACCGTAAAGTCGATCCAGGTGGAAGTCGCAGATGGCCAGTTTACTGTCGACGACATCTTCAAGAACAAAACTTTCTACACTCTGATCATCTCGTTGGCTTCAACATATGTCCTCTGGTTCATCTCATCCTTTCTCTTCTTTGATCCATGGCACATGTTTACCTCATTTGCTCAATATCTCCTCCTTACACCAACTTACATCAACATTCTCAACGTCTACGCTTTCTGTAACACCCACGATATCACCTGGGGAACCAAAGGAGACGACAAAGCCGAGAAACTGCCCTCAGCGACCCTCAAGCCTGGTGGAAAAGTCGACGTCAACATCCCCACCGACGACCAGGATCTCAACGCCCAATACGAAGCCGAAATGCGCAAGATCGTTAGCAAAGCACCCGAAGAGGTGCGCGAGATTTCCGCAAGCGAGAAGCAAGAGGATTATTACAAGGGCTTCCGTAGTCGTGTCGTTATCTTCTGGCTTCTCTGTAATTTCGGACTGGTGGCCACCGTCCTCAGTACGGCCGGTCTGTCGCGACTGAGTACTGGGAAGGATGCCGAGGCTCAGGAGACGCTGAAGAGTGATATTTATATGGCGGTTGTGTTGTGGTCTGTTGCTGCACTGTCGGCCTTCAAGTTCATTGGGGCGATGTGGTTCTTGGTTGTTAGGATGTTTAGGGGGGTGTAAAGGGGGTGGAGAAGTTGCATATTTTCGTATATGCATTGGGATGGATGGATTGATACCAAGTGTCCATTCTGTATTGTTTGTTTGTTGGTATACCTTGTAGTGTATAGGATAGGTCCTTTTTTTTTCTTCACGCGGGAGTTGGATTTTCTTTTTCGCCGATTTTATGAGCATGACTTGCCCTATTGTATGGGGATCAGTGTGGTGGTGGAAGAAGGGGCGAGGGCATAGCATATGGATGTGGATGGATGGATGTATGATGAAAGTAGAAGATCAATATACCCCCCCATTGTTAATTTTGTTTTGATGAGTTCTTTTTTGTTGAGAGGTGAGAGGGGAGGGGGGGGATAATGAATTGAGATCGTTAAGAGAAGAAAAAATTCGTTGTCTTGATTTGTTGTGTTTTGCTTGTATTTTGCTTGTAGACCTGGTTCAGGAGGTAGTTGTAGATGTAGTAGAGTGGAGTGGAGGAGGGGTGGGTTAGGGTAGGGTAGAGTACCACATAATTATTTTGCTTCTACGAGTAGGGTTGATAGATGGAGATAGTGTGTTAGGAAAGGGGTAGAAAGGTGGATGGATAATGGTTAGAGTTAGAGACTTAAAGTAGAATAGAATATCTACATCATTTAGGTACCCTCCACGGGTTATATACTTACTTACTTACCTATCTACTCAGCTACTTACCTACCTACTACTAGGAAAGTAAAGTAAAGGAAAATAAAGTAAAGTAAAGTATATTATTTACTACTTCCTTACTAACTTATCTATTTCCTAACCTTGTACAAGCTACCGTGTAACCTTACGGTTATATATACTCCATATCCCTATATATAATCGCTTTCAACACCTACCTACCTACCATCCCCTCCATCCCTCCAAAACCTCAACATTTAAAAATATCTAACCTACAAAATACAAAATACAAAATACAAAACAAACGTAAATCACCAAGGAGAGAGGGAGTCTCGCTATACTTGTAGCATAGGGCAAAATCTACCCACCCTACGAGTAGACTTTGTTTTTTAGATGACGGGGACGGGGATGGGAAGCTGCGCGCTGCGAAATCTCTAGATTTGATAGATAGTTACAGACGAGGGTGTATTTCGTAGAAAGAAAGAGACTCCTATTGGCTTTATACCCTAGTCATATATGTATATATATATATATATAATTACCTCTACTCCCAGTGGTCTGAGAGTGTAATTCGTATAAGACCAAGATGAAAACGAGTACCTACCTACCTACCTTCCTCATGCCTTATACAAATTCTTACTCACATTAAGAAACCAAGCAAGTCATCACGTAAAGCAAAAAAGTGTATATCATTCATTCATTCATTCCCCTGCCGCACTCTACATTCTCCTCCCCTCCCCTCCCTCCCCCAACTAATTCACCTCACCCCCCAACTTCTCCAACTCCTCCCTCAAAAAGTCCTCCGCATTAATAAGCTCCGTACTCCCATACACCACCCTCCTCTTTCCCGCGCCCTTCTCCGCACCACTCCCCCCCGCACCCGTTCGCTTAGCCCACTCCTGCAGATTCCCATACTCATCCATACTCCCACCACCAACCGTAAACACAATCGCCTCGCTGAAGCCTTGCCGTCTCTGTCCAAAGGTAGCTTGTTGTCCAGGTCCGTGACCCATACTACCAGGCATTTGTTCGCCTTTGCGTGCTGCGTTGGGAGGTGGCATGGTGCCTCGTGCGTTGGCACTGCGTGGGTCGAAGTAGAGGTAGTTTTCTGTTTTGGCAATGGCGCTACTGCTTGCGCCTGCGGGGTCCATGATGGATTCCGTGATTTTGGTGACGGTGAGGTCACGATTTGCGGGGAGAAAGTTCTTGACGCCTGAAATCAAGTTTTCAAAGTTGGCGCCCACCCCAGAGTCTTTAAGCGAGGATGTGAGACGGGACGAGATGCCACTGAATTGAGAGAAGAGTTGAGTCGAGGCAGAAGATTGCTGACTGGTTTGTGCTGGAGCGGTGGACATCATGGTTGTTTTGGTATAGGTACGAACTCTGGTGGCATATTAGAAATTATAATAACAAGATCATCTTGAAAATACTCACTGTTTGACATAGGCGAGAGAGGTTGTGTCTGCACCCGCTGCCTTGAGAGTTTCCTCAAACTTTTCCACGTCCACTCTCGAGACTTCGTGATCTGTGCTCAGATACCATATGATGAACAATCTTAATTTGTCCATCGGCTCCGTTCCTTTTGTCTCGTCACCCAGAATCTCAAGGATTTGTGCTTTGGTTTGCTTGGTAATGTTTTCTTCCATTTGGAAATAGTTGTCAAGCTGTCGGTTTTTAATACCTGTCAACAATCCGGCCAAGATATTCATATGCATATCGAGAACTGCTTTCCGTTCTCGCAATTCCGGAAGAAGTGTAATGGCAGCTTTCAAATGTTGCGCCGAAGCACTTGTATCATTCTGAAGATCTTCGAGTGAGGAAGCTCCAGTTTTCCTCGTCACTTCATTCGCATCATCCTTGTATCGTGATAATTCCGCATCAATGTCTTCCGCGACTTGTGGAAATGGAACGCTGGCATTTTTGCTCCAAAAGAAGTCATTAGCCGTGAGATCATAAGCCTTTTTCGTAGAGGCTTTGGCGGGGTTTTCCTCGTCAACTGGCGTTTCCACAGTAATTCGGTTCAGTTTCATTTTCAAAACATCATGAACCAGAGATTGATATGTCCAGGAGTGTGAAAGCATTGGTATCAAATCCACATTTCGATCCAAAATAATTAGGACAGGTCTAGATGATGGCGTGCCCGCGGAGGCGGCTCCTCTACCAGTTGGTGCAGAAAATAGGTTGTCTTTTGAATTCAAAATATGATCGCGAAGTTTTCGGTCGAGTTTGGTAGCAATCATCTCGGCCGCAGCACCTTTCGGACAGCGTATTATGGGCATTACAGCTAGAATGGTCAGCCATGATTCAGGTTCCAATTTCCCTAGAGCTTCGCATACCCATTGTAGCCATTACACTGAATAGCCCGCTTACTATCTTGTCCACTACATGCTCTAATTGTTCCTCGGTCGTCTTTCCGCTATTCAATGCCCAGTATGCGTTTTCCTTTCTTAGTCCCAAACTGAACAAATCTGGTTCTCCAACAATAAAGTTCAAGTACTGATCGTAGAATTGCGAAATGCTTTCCGATGTGCCAGCTTCCGCAGTCTGTCTCGCAAAGTCTTCGAGTAAGGGTCGGGGTATCGAGGAGAGGAAATTGATGTATGCGGGGGAGTAGAGACCACGAGAGAGGTCATTGGTAATGGCTTGTAAGTTTGAGGGCGTAGGTTCAACTAAATACAGAACAGGCACGTCAGGTATAGGATGGCGCGCAGATGCTATGTGCCTAAGACAGTCAGTACTTCTTGCGACAGCTTGTCGACCCTTGTCTGCGAACCTACATGTGCATTGTTACTCCCCAGGTTCGCAAGTCGTTGACTCGAAGAACACTGCTGATAACATCTCTTCCCAAATCGTCAAAGACCAAAACCTTCCATATTGGATCTCCATCCGAATTGAGGAGGGGCACCGAGGGGACAGCTAGTCCGTTTGCATTGTGGTCGGCAGGATTGTGATCGAGTTCTTCAGATTCGTGATTGAGATTTAGCATGCGCTCAATGGATCCTGAGGGGATTGTTAGCTATGCACCAGTCATGTTGGGGTAGGTTGGGAATCGTTACTGATTTGGCGGTCCCGGAGGGAAGTGTGGCTCGCCGCCATGATGAATGAAGGAAGAAGATGAAGGGCTGCAAATCAGCCAGGTTGCAATTATCGTGGCATGTAAGTCCCGAGTTTTGGATACAGCTTGGTGTATGGAGTGATTGGGTATGAGTGTTGTACTTTAGGACAGATTGCTGGGAGCGGATGACGGTGATATCAGAATCTTGCGATCCAAAGCCAAAGGCTGCCACTCACCACACTCTACCTCTATCCAGCGCTGCAGCCACAGCCAGTGGCTGCAGCGAGAGTGAATCCTGTTGCTGTTAGCTACTGGCTGCTGGAAGTGGGTCGGTTGGGCCGATTCTGGTTAGCGCGTAGCCCAGGCGTTTCGGAGGTACCAACCCCCCCGCTGATTTCGCAGCAGGTCGCGCAGTTCCTTTCTTCTCTTCCAACAACACATCTCTCCCCAACTTCATCTTCATTCCCCCATTCCATCCCCACCGCCAGATCTTTTCTTTTGGCCGTACTATGGCCGTATCAAACTCACGACGCTGACCAGAAACTGATGATCGTACAAATGAACTGCACAAAGTGAACTGGGTTAAAGAGGGCAACTACCGCTCGTGGAGCGATCGCCTCATAATAAGGGTACGGTGACACCTTGACACTTCATTATTGCTTTGTTGCGCGAGAGAGAGGAGTCGGAAGTCAGGAGTCCACGATAAGGACGAGGACTAGAGACTAGGGGGGCAGAGGAGATCGGCCACACCATGATCATCACAGAGAGGTTGAGAGAGACAGTTGCGCGATGAGCCTTACACTACACTACTACACTGGAAAGCATCTGCTGTTCTGCTTTACGCTGCTGCTGCGCCAGAAATGGGCTCAGTTGGCTCAGGCTCAGGCTCAATGCAGCACCCCCTGCACTGAGGTGCTGCCCTCGCCCACACCCGCCTTGTGGTGTCTAGACATAAGCTTGCGCTTCTGCTCCAGCATTGGCAATGGGAATGGGGGTACTTGGAAATTCACAGGCCCTGCGAATTTGGGTGTAAAGGAGTGCATTGCGCATTGCGCTGGGCTGTATACCATCACATCACCATCAATTCTGCCATCATCATTAAGAGGGACCGCCTCCGTATGGGCATGGGCAGGGGCAAAAACGGGATTTCATGGATTCTTGCGTTGCGGCACTTGTGCGCTACGGTTCCTGAAAATTTTACGGTTGCCTGAAGCGGCCAGTGCTGCAAAAATGAATCGGCATCGGCTGGGAGCGGCCATAGCCAGAAATGTTGGTGGTCAAGCAGCACACCAAGTTGGTTGTTTTGCTTGGCTGACATCCTAGTCGATTTTGATTCAGGCAACGTGACAGCCTCTTCCACTCACTCAAATTCTCCATCACCCAAAAGTTGTTGGTTGCAATTTCAACTAATCAACTAACCGAGGGCATGTTAGACACACAGACATTCACACATTCACTCACTCTTTCTTTTTGTTGGTGGTGCCCAGATTGATACATGTTTCTAAATGAAAAGTTCCCTGAAAGCTGATTCAAACTTCTCGTCTAGCTTCCAATCACATTTCCATTCTTGGCCAGAATTCACGCCGCTTTTACGATAATTTCACACTCCTAATTTTCTACTGAAACGCCCCATCTTTCCGCTTTCGTACCCGCTCCCGACTCAACTCCCGATTCTACCTACAGGGGCTTTTTTCTACAACTCGATCAATATAATCACGTGATTCGGCTTCTGTGAACAATTTCTCCATCACTTCCCAATCTACGGCCATCATCATGGAGGGCAATCAAGGTCATGGGTATATACAGGAGGACCATGGATACGATGAGTTACTGAATAATGGAGGGTGGCCCGGTGCCAATGATCAGTTCTTGTATGGCCAACAAACCCAGCAACCGCAGGATCTCTACGCCAGATATAACACAAGTCAACAGCCATCCTCTTTCGACCACTTCGACTTACAGCCTCAACCTCACCCATCCTACCAGCAGCCGATAACATACACCAATTCACCCTACACTCATGCTCCTCAATTCCAGCAACATCAAGCCCAGCATCAGCAGCCACAACATGGCCGGTCCTCGGATATGTTCGCTCCTTCCTCCACAACCGTTGACCCTTCCTTACAAAGTTCGGCTCCGTATCAAAGTCATACAAACATCGCTGCTCATCCAAACATCGCTGCTCATCCAAACCAACTCGCTCACCAAACTCAAAATACATCGTACTCTATTGCGCCTAACGCAACACAGTACGTCCAATACAGCATGGCCCCGAGTCAACCTAGTAGTGGTCCGCAAGCAGTAGCATATCAACAACCACAAGATACGGTTGTCAATAATTTTGCCCAGAGACCACAGCCTCAGGCGCATCAAGTAGTGTACTTCAATGAGGTTGAAAATAGCACTATGCAACGTAATGTTAGCAATCCCATAAATTATGGAGCTGTGCCTGTTCAGAATCATCAGAATCAACAGAGCCAACAGCCAGTGCAGCCCAAGCCAGCCGTTACTGATATGAACCCATCTGAGCGGATATATCAATCCATTAATACCAGCTCCATGAATCATGTCAAGAGTAAGCCTGTTGATATGCCATCCCCTTCTCAATCTCAACCCAGGGTCATTGTGAAACCATACAATCCGTTGCGCATGGTTAAAGGAGAACTTCTTCCCAAGAAAAATGACACAATCAGTCAACGACTTGTACATGCACCTTTTGTTGCTTTTGGCTCGAGTCCAATACAAATCAACCTTAACCTCAAAAGTCAGTCTCTCTTAACCCCTATTGGCTCTCTTGCATGAGACCATCGTCATTTGTTGTGCATCCACTAATACATTTTCTCAATAGACACGATTCCCAAATACCACCCAAGAAAATCAAAAAGTGGAAAAGAGCTAGTGCCAGGGTTCAACAGTTCGCGTAAGTATTTGCCATCGGCAAGTCTCCCAAATCTTTCCCGACTAAACTCTCGCTTAGATTCACTGGTACCTGCGCGCCCATCAACGAAAAAGGAACGCCATCCCAAACACGAGAAGCCTTCGACATCTATCTGGAAGGGCACTAGTGGCGGATTTAAACCATCAGTTGGAAAGGTGGTAGGTCGTCGTGAGGATAACACTTCGAAAACATCAACACCTACAGACTCAAGCACGTCAGAGGATGAATCTAGCTCAGAGGAAGAATCAGAATACGAAGAACCAGAGATGCCCCCCATTCAGGATGTCAGCGAGGTAAGTTTTATAAAATTTGCCTTCTAATTTCTTTCTGGTTTTGCCATTTTGCTCAAGATCGTGGCGATTGCGATTCCCCTGTCTGATCGCCCATCGCAGAAATTCTGCTGCCTTGATTTTACAGGCGCCACAACGCGCGCTCGATCTCCCATCACCTGAATTCGAGTCACATATACTAAACTTTTTTTCTCTAGATTCGTGGTGCAATCAGACCAACTGCACTTCCGTCAGGTACTCGGTGGGATGTCATTGGCGTAATTTGGAGAGATCCTAACACCAGTCCCAACGCAAAGGTGGTTCAAGAGGCAATCGAAGAATACTATGAAATCCTCAGCTCATTACGTGCCAAGCTAAAGGAGAAGAAGGAAGCCGAAGCAGCAGCAGGTCCCGCTCAGGCGGAAAAGTCTAAAAATGAGCGACGAATTTTGTTGGATGCTCTTTATGAAGCTGTCAACGCTGCTGATACTTTAGGATACGTATCAATTGTGGAAAACCTGGGAGGACATCAGAGACTTGTAAATGCATTGACTTCGACGTTAATTGAGTGCACCAAAGCAAAGCCTCCAGATCTACTTGGAAAGCTTCCTAGAGCAGTCTTTAGTTTACTTGCCAAATTTCAGACCATGACTGATGCACTTTTGGAGAAGCTCAAGTTTGGCTCCATTGCTAAGCGTTGGACTGATCCCAAGAAGAACAATGGCACAAAGGCTTCGGATGAGAAGATTGATAAGGACATTGCTGCGATCAAGGCCAATACAATTGATGCCAAAGAAAGAGCGGTACAGGCGAAGAAGGATGCTGCAAAGGTGGAGGAGCAGAGAAAGGTACTAAACAAGATTGAGCAGACTAAGAGTCGGGTCGAGGGCACCAATAAACCTTCTCTCAATCCTGCAAAACGACCTCACGAGGGTGACAGTACCAACGGAAAACCCAACAAGAAATTTGCCTCGGATGTAGCTGGCGCGCCTGCGACAAAGCCAACTTTTCAGAAAAAGACAAATCTACTTGGTATCTCAACAAAACCAGCCGCCAGATCCGTCGTCAAAAAGAAAGAACCCTCACCACCACCAGCCGTGTCCAAGTTTTCTGCACTCCTCGATAGTATACACCGACCTCCTTCACCCCCTAAAGCTGCAGAAGTCCCCTCCGGACCACCCGAGACACCTGAAGAAAAGGCGCGCCGAGAGAGAAAGGAAAGCAGAAGACATTTGAGAGTCAAATTCAAGGAAGGTGACGCTTTGGAAGAGATCAGAATTTTCAAAAAGGACAAGTCTGAGATTGAGGATGAGGGTCGCCAACCTGACGCGCTCAGAGACGCTCACGATATTGGTAGCGAAGGCATGATGCACAAACGACGAGTCTCGGAAGCAATTGACGAAGAAGAGGAGAATCAGCCTGAAGATCCCGAGAGTCGACCTTACCCTGCTTTGATTGAAATAGATTTCAGCGATCTCATGGCGCCAACTAAGTTTGGTCGTAAATATACTACTCGTGGTGGAGATCGGACATTTACAACACCTGAACAACAGACACAAGAACGACGTGAGGCTATTGAGCTTATGGTTACATACATGGATACTGGTGATATACCTCCTACACCAAAAGAGCCCTCACTTGCCATGGGTCAAATTGATGGTGCCGCTGATGAGGATACCACGCCGGTTCCATCACTGAAAGGACCAACGGAGGCTTGGATCGTTCAAAGACTGCATGAGATCAGACAGTACGGTCCAGAATATGCAACGAAATTTTTCCTTGCTCGTTTGGAAGAACAAAGATCACAAGGTCGAATGCATGGCATGAATTCCAGTCAAATTACCCCAGCTCAACCTCAGCAAATTATGCCAGTGCCAGCAAAGATTGATCTAGCAGCGTATCAAACCCTCTTGGATGTCGTTGAGTCTCTGAAGGGCAAACCTTATCCGCCTACCGAGCCGCCCGAATGGATGACCGACCCTAATCACATAGCCATCTGGTGGGAAGGTTACAATCGAGATGAGGCAGCCAAGCCTAGACCAGAAGTTGTAGTGCCAATTGAACAAACCCAATATCAACCTCAGGTTGTCGTCCCAGCACCACAAGTTCCAATGTATGCAGAGCAACCATATCAACCACAGCCACCACAACCTCAGGCAAGCATGTCCGCTCCTAATGATATCGCTAGTCAGGTACAAAATCTCTTGGCTGGCTACGGCAACGGTGGTAACGCTCCTGCAAACCAACAATTCGACTACGCCGCATGGGCAGCCGCACAAATGCAGGCTCAGGCTCAGGCTCAGGCCGAAGCCCAAGCCCAGTCTTACAACAACCCATCTCAGCAGCAACCCAATTGGGATTCCCTACAATGGGACGACCAGCAAGACAACTCGAACAAGCAGCCCAAGCAACGCGGATACAAGCTCAAGGAATGGAACGGGGGCAACCAAAAGCCGCTGGATACGAGTATCTTCGATGAGAATGGCGAGTACAAGGGCAAGAAGAGACCGTGTACGTTCTTTGGGAAGGGATTGTGTAAGAAAGGTGCGGGATGCACGTTTCTTCATTCCTAGAGTTGTTTATGTCTGGTGGATGGTCTACCTTTTCTTCTTGAGGCTTGACCTGGCGGACTATGATATGACACGATACGATACAGATATATCAACAGACGCATACCTCTTTTTCTCCTCGCAGTTTTTTTTCTCTCTTTCGGCATTCATGTTTCTCCCTCATCTCATACGACGGCGCAATTTTGATTTTTTCTGTTTTTTTGATTTTTTGTTTTTTTTGGGAGAAGTTAAAAGAATACCCTGATCTCATCACTTTTTTCCTTCCCGTTTTTTTTTTATTACTTTGGACTTCTTCCGTTTTTCTTTTACGATGGGGGATGGCGTTACAGAGAGAGAGAGATGACAAGAGCTGTTGTTTCTCTTTCTTTCTTTCTTTCTTTCTTTCTTTCTTTCTTTGAGAATCTTTTCCTTGCATTCGAATCCACTCCGTTCGATTCGAATTTGTATTATGTATTTCTAATTTTTTCTGACGTTGAGATTCTTTCGTTTTTCTTTTCTTTTTCTTCTTTTTTTTGCTTGAGGTTGGGTAGAGGGGAGAGTTGTGGTTGCATTTGCATGGTACGTGGTGGCTTGTGTGGTGGTTTGGGGTTGGGGAATGGTATGCGTAGTGGTGGGTAGAGAAATGGAAATGGATGCCAATCAATGTACTGTGTGGTGGCTTGGTGGCTTCTGGGGGGATACCTAGTGGTGATGTGTGATGGAAGGAAGGGAGGAAGTGAGGGAAGATAAGATGTATTCTAGATTTTTCTCTCTCTTTTTTGCTGGCCTGGCTTGGCTGGGGGAGTTGGTGAGGTTGGGGAGGAGAAGAGAAGAAAGTACAGTACTGTAAGAAGAATGAATGAATTTAATGAATGGATGAGATGTGATGTTTTACTTGGGGTTTGTGGTGAGGTTGTGCTGTAAAACAGATGTGATTGATTACGTGTGCGTATGTTGATTACAAGAAGCAGATGTTGCGGAACTTGAATCAGGTAGAGGAAGAGGGGCAGAAAACGTGTCTTGGGGTACACGCGGATACTATACATGATATCATAGAGAACCCTTATTTTCTGATGAGAACACAACAGCATATTCTATTAAATCAACCAGATTTCACCATAATTAACGTATCACAACTCCTCACAAACCTCAAAGTTGCAAAAGAGTTAGACAAAGAAACTCACTCAAAGCCCTATATCCCCTCTTCCCAACACTAAACAATCCAAACATACTAAAGTTCCTAGCTACGATGTCCTTTTGGCATCCTTACTTTTCTCCAAAGAAAGACTAGTATACCTCCAATTCGCCTTTCGCCTACAACCTTTACCACCCTTAAGATGACTCACTCCACCAGCTCCTCAATTATCTCCCTGCTATCTGAAGAACCAACCACGAAAACAAAGTTGTGAGGTAATATCTCAGTCCTCTTTTCATGGTAGTTCTTCCCTTCTCTTCTCAGAATAAAAAACGAGCTTTCCACATCCCGCACATACACATCCCAACCCTCCTTCCATCTCCTATCTAATTCCCGTACCCAAGATAATTTCAACTCACAGCTACCTTAATATTCAGCCATTCAGAAGTAGACCCCCCAAGAAACCCAAATCACTCATCCCATAACCCACAAATAAACATGATAATTTCCCAGTTACTCACTTACTCAGAAGTCAGTGATTCATACAATAATCCACAAGTAAACAAGTAAGTAGAAAGAACGTGAATCCTTCAAAAAACCCGCCTTACCTACCAAACGGACTCCTGCTAGCCTTGCTAGCTGTAGTATAAAATGCTACATCTAGCACCAAGTTTTCAAATTCATAAAATCCCAAATACCAAAGATTATCTCTACGAATAACTAGACTGTCTCAACAAACCAAACCAACAACCAAAAAACAACTCCACACACACCCACCTACACCCATCACCCACTCCCATCTTCAAAAATGCCCACCCCACGCCCCCTCGAAATCCGCGCCGTACGCCAACGCTTCGACCTAGTGGAGACTGAGTACCGTCTCGTAAAGGTATTATACCTAACCAAAAAAGCCACCTACGAGAAGTCCAAAGCCACCTACGAGAAGTCCAAAGCCACCTACGAGAAGCGAAAGGCCGAGTACGAGACCCTTTTAAAGATGGAGAGACATCAAGCGTCTTCGTCGCAGGAACGAGTTCGTAGTGCTCTGAACGCGTCGGCGGAGAGGGGGAGACGTGTTTAGTTTGTTATTCCACCGGGGACGCGGAAGCGTTGGTTAGAGCGTTAGAAGAGCGTTAGAAGAGCGAGATTGGAGATGGAGGTAGAGAGGGAGATAATACCAAGGTCTGAAGATCAAAATAGGATGGAAGAGTTAGATTGGTTAGATTTGGTGGAGTGGGAAGTAGTGGGGGCAGTAGGATGTTGTAAGCATGGTCTCCAAACAGAGGAGAGAGGAAATATAGTACGAGTATGATATACTATCCTACCCTCGCTAATTCTCGGTTACTGTATTCTGAACTCCAACCCCTTTTTGATCGGTTCTTTTCCTCACTTTACTAGGAAGTACTAAGAGGAGATTGTTTTGCGATAGAGGCATGGAAGATATAGAGTTGAAACTGTGTGGGTATTGAGGGGGTATATGCCTAGACTATCTATGTGGGAAAAAAGAAAAGAAATAACAACTCCATGTTCCAACCCCGAAATAGCGCAAAGCCAATTAAAAAAGCTGGAAGGGTTCCTTATCCCATGACATCTTATATCCAATCTCCCTGAAAAACTCCCAGATGCCAGGTCCCAATGTGACTCCTTTCGTAATTCATGATCATATCCCATAACCCGCTTCCAAAATAGACAGATCAGACCCCGCCACCCTTCTTCATCAAACCCACCTTTCTTGCCCTCCTCTTAGCCACAATATCAGGGTCCCAAATCCCCTCAAACAGTTTCTCACACTCATCCTCATCCTCGCTATCAAAAACAACCGCATCCGCATTCACCTCCACGCACTCCCCTAACTCATTCGCTTCCCCATCCTCCTTCCCCACCTCCCAAGAAACACCCACAACCACCCGCTTCATCTCCAGTATATACTTCCCAATCTTATACTTCTGCGCCAGCTCCTTAGCATCCACATACTTCCACCCCAACACCGTCCCACAAATCGTACACGTCACATCCGCAACAACATGAGCGCCCGTCAGCAAATCCCTATTGACGGACCGTCCAACCCTCGTGTTTATGAGTTGTGTCGGCTTGAACTTTTTCAGGGCTGGGATCGAGGAGGGAGGGGGTGCGACGAGGTAGGCGCGTCCGTGGCGGCCTGTGAAGCCTTTTGAGACGATTTGGGAGGTGAAGGCTAGGTCTGAGGCGCAGGTTATGCATTTAAGCGTGTTTGGTGCTGTGCGGTGGAGGGTTGGTTTTGGTTCGTGGGGTTTGTTTGTGGATTTGGGGGTTTGGAGGTTCCTTGTGAGGGAGGAGTGAGCTGTGAGGAAGGAAGGGATGTAGTGAGGGTTGGGAGGCGAGGAGCTGGGTGTGGTGGTTGCAGATGAGGATGGGGAGGCGCTCAGAGATTGTTCAGAGGAAGTGGAGGTTGTGCTTGTTGTAGAGGAGTGTCGTTGTCGAAATGGGAGGGGGAAGGAGGGCAGGAGGTAGGTTGGGAAGGGGGGTCGATCGGGTGCCATGTTCGGGATGGTTGTGGCCGAGTTTCGAGTTTCGTATTATAGAGTATCTTGTACTTTGAGCTGTTGAAATATTGGAAGGTCTCTTGGGGTATCAAGTTATTATTAAAGTCGGAGGAAGGTCAAGAGAGACAGGAGGGGTGCCAGCATTAATTATTAAGTTGTTGCAGTTCGCTTCGAGGGGACCAAATCAGGGTGTGAGTTAGGAGATCATGAAATGGACGAGGTTATGGTGAAAAGGAAGCTCAGATCATTAGGTATTTTGGCTTTCTAGCCTCTGTAATTTATTGTCGACGTTTCATGTATGCGTTGTTGGTTCGAGGGGTTGAGTTTGTTCTTTGTTTGTGTGCTCGTCCTCAAGTCTTGGATGATGCCATAGGGGGGTCATGCGAGGTCCAACGGCAATTGCAGGTACCCACAACCTTGACGATAAGAGGATAAGAGAAGTACGGGTACGGCGATAACATTGATGTCCAAAGGATCAGCTTATTATTATTGTCTCTGCCATGTTGATTTCTCTTTCTTTGCACATGATATCTGGGTATTCGTTTGCTTTGAACGAACGACTTTCGCGAGTCACACCACTTTTGGTTGTATGGTGTTGCAGCGTCCGCACAAACGTCACACCAAGGTCGTGACTTTGGTGGGGAAATCCAGAAGTGTTCAATGCCATCGCTGATCCCTCCACGGGGCCATTACCGGACCCTATTAGCAGTGATCATGTGGTGTTGTAAATAGTAGGGAAGAAGATACCAATATACTTGTACAGGTAAGCAACGAATGGACGGATAGTTGAGACATCTCAAGATGATGACCTGGGCTGCCCAGGTGGATGCCACGAGACTTGGTTACGATTTCGATTTTGAACTAGGTTACTGCTAATACTCTAGTGGTTACTGAGACCGAGGCTGGCGTTGAGTAGCGGCTCGGACGGACAAGATGACGAGCAGTGACTTTCACTCCGCCCACCACCACTACGTAAATTATACTACTCGTACGTATCAGAAATTGAGAAAATTTGCGTATGGCTTGATAGCTAGTTTGAAATAGTTTACTACTCTGTCGATGGTTAGAAGTACTCGGCAAAGCACACCATACTACTCGAGTAGGCACTGCAGAACAGCTGAGGCGAAAGAGCTAAGTACCTGCCTAGTAGGCATCTACCTACTTCCGTACCTAGGTAGGAGTACGCTATTTGAAAAACAGTCTCCCCGGATTTCCGCTACTCGGTAGCAAAGGGCTCACTCTCGCTGAAGGCAGTACCTTACCTATAGTTCTACACACCGATTGAAACGAAGTATCGAGTACCTACCTAGCCTATTTATTGTAGCCTGAGTGAATAGAAGTGATACGTCATTTTGAACTGGCTCCTACGAAGTACTTCGTACGTAGGTCATATTGTCAAGCTATTCCCTAACCAAAGTCTCGAATTAATCACGACCAAAAGTATGAAGTAGTTATCCTTCCCTCTCTAACAATACGAGTACGAAGTATCGGCATTCATGAGGTCCCAGCCCGAGGCCGAGTAACGAAAGGAAGGTTCTGGAAAGCCTGACCAGTGATTGGCTTGTGCCATACCACGTGATTTCAAATGCGGGGCAAGCGGCCAGGCCTTCTAAAAGCGAATGGCCGCGCCGTCTGCGACTTCTTTCAAGAGACTCCCAGCACCGTATCACAACTTCAGCTACACCGCCAACTCCATCTCGCAACTCTGCAAACACATACAACGCACTACCCGCGATAGCCTCGTGAGCTGCCAAGTCAATCCAACGTCTTCGATCCTCTCAACCGTCCTCGATCCCCCCGAAAACATATTCCCCTTTCCCGACGCAACCGTGGCAAAACCCTGTCAGAATGTCTTCCAGTAAAAACCAAAGTAATAGTACGAGTAATCGCAATGGCGAGAGTGTTGGACGTGCTGCCAATGTTCTCGCCAGCGCATACTGCGTAGACTCTTCTGCCCGCCTCAGCGGCTTCCGTAAGTACCATGACCCCTATACAGCTATCGCCCATCCATCGCTGTGTCTCCTCCACCATGAACCATATCAAGAGCAAATACTAACCTCCTCATCAGATTACTCCACTACCGGCGCCGGCGGGGCCCAGTGGTATCCCTGAGGTCCGAGCCTGGAACTCGGGACTACCCTCACCACCTTCAAGCCCCCCTCTAGCTGCTCTCACCTCGGCCAACGAGCTCGCGCTCATTTCCAAGTCAACCCGATCGCGCGACAACGATACACATGGCAGAGCTACTCAGAGCAAGCGCCTTGAGGGGGCAACGTACCATATCCGGGGAGAGTGTGAGAGACTCTTCTGCGAGACTATGAAAGATGTTTTCTTCGGTGAAGGAGGATCATCATCGAGTAATGGCTCATTCGGAATGAATACGTATAACATGAACAATTTACAATCAACTCCTCCTAGCGAGGATCAAAACCACGGATACTTTACTGGACATGGACAAGGCCAAGATATAGACGCTTGGATTGAAGTCTGGGACTATGCTGGTGGATGTAGCTTCCGTGTATTCGTTGGTGGAAATGGAGAGAATAAGTCTCTATTTGCATTCTTCGATTCTGCTGTCATTGGAAGAGATTTGAAACAAGGGTAAGTTGTTCCGGCAGACACCGGTACCGTTCTAACGAGAAATAGTCTCATGGCATTGATCGAGCTCGCAGAAACCGTTTTCGCAGTCTCCCAAGTTGTTGTATGTGTCGATCGTTCGGTACAAGAGGTCAATCGGAAGGCTTTCCTAAAGAGTCTTCGATGGGTTGGCTTCGAGGCCGTTACTCTCGATCTCTGGGCTGGCCGTTTGGACATTACGAGTGACAAGTGGCTTTTCTTGGGTATGGAAGTTTAATCATGTATATTTCTGGGAAAGGAAAAACAAGCAACCGTATGGGACTTTTCATGGCGTAGTGGGTGGAAAATGTGTTTTTTCTTTCTACGTACTTTCTTGACTTTGGTGGACACCGAGTGGCTGCATTTTCGCAGGCAATGGAGGGGGTTTCTTGATTCTAATTTGCGGCATCGTTGTATTCATCTCTTTTAATTCGCATCAAAATGGGAGGCTTTTTTCCTGTACAGTATGATATAATTACAGTAGTTTACGTGTGTGATGATCAAACTGTGTAGTATATATACTGTTGATAAGACTCGACCCTTGACCACGTTACCACGTACCACTTTCTTAGTCCCCTCCATCAACATTTTGTGTATAAGTAGAAGGAGTCTATTCCATAAGCTTACTTGGCTTCATCTACGAATATGTAGGAGTGTAGCAGTATGTGTGTGTGTGTGTGTGTGTGTATGTTTCTCGCACTTTTAGGGCTTTGGGGGCGGAGGGAAGAACATGAGAAGGAGGGAGAGGAGGGGTTTCTGGAGCCTGTTATTTCAAGCTGGTGCTAGTGTTATCTTGGTAATATACTTTATTAGGTTGTTGAGGGATTTGGATTTGAATTCGATTTTGATTTTTGGGTGATATTAGAGGGGAGATTACAGTAGTGTAATTTATTAAAGTTATAGAGGGGTGGTGGGAGGGTATCAGGGGATGGGGGTGGACGGAACCTGGAATCAAGGGAATAAGCAGTTTGCAGACGTCCTTCGGAACACTTGGCGCAATAGCAATACCTACAATCATCATTCCAATTCATCTACTAGGTGGATTTTGTCGCCGATTTTTATAGATTATTTAGTGGTTAAGCACGTTCTAAGAGGTAGACAAAAGCCGTGCAAGTTCAACGAGTGTGCTAAAGGTATAAAGATAACTTGTGGAGCTAGGAGAGGACCGTGTGAGTTATTACTAACCACCTACGCTTAGGTCGCGAGTTATCCCACAATTTAGTGCTCAATTGAGTCTGGTTCTATGCAATATATGAAGCTATTCAGACTTTCCCCACGTAACCCACTTACACCCGCCAATCGAATGACTGGTTCGGAGGATGTTAGCTGTTTGATATTAATCCTATACTATACCTTATTCTAGGTACGATAATCCGTCACTAAAATCGCGCATTCGGAATCCCTTGACAAGTTAGTTATATGCGGCGCTAATAAAGGTTGATTATAATAATTAAAAATCGGCAATAAAATCCTCCTATTTGGATTTGGAGGTTTGGGTGACATTGGAGGGGAGATCACAGTGGTGTAATTTAATTGTTTTTATAGAGGGGTGAGGAGGGGGGTGAGGGGATGAAAGTTCAACCTTTTGAGGAAGGTTTTTCTGTTCTTATCGTGATACTGTAGAGTTAGATTCGGATTTGGATTTAGCCTACCATGTCTGTGGTGGTGGTGGTGGTGCCTGTTAGTGGAAAGTTACTAGAGTACTCGTACTGTACTCTACCATGTGAGATTTGGGGGAGGGGAGGGGGATTGGGGTTGGGATACTACCTTGCGATACGTACAGTAGCTGGAAGTCTGATAAGGATAAGGAAACATGGAGGGTTTGAATCTAATCTGTTTTATTTTTCCCTTTCTTCAAACATCCGGGGTAGTTTTTGCGTGTGTGTCTTCTTTTTTTATGTGTACGGTAGGTGAAAGCGCGAGTTCCTTGAGTCGGTGAGAGTTCACATTGTACTGTACTCAGAGGACACGAGTGAGTGTTACTTGTTCATCCCCACGTATCACGAAACGGCTGAGAGCTGAGTTTCATGGATCCATCAATTGAGTTTTCGGTCCTAGGCTGGCTGTCGCTGGGAGATTCCCCGTTCCATAGCCATGATGGGTGGACGGAGTGGGAAGGTGGGAAATGGGCGGGCAGGCGATAGATCTACGTGGGAGAAAGTCAAGACGGGACGGGTAATGGGGTGCTTAATTGGTGGTGCTGCTTCGATATTGCGATTTCTGGTTTCGTGAGTGGTGTGAGGAGTACGGGAAGTGACGATGTGGTTCTTTGCTTCCTTTATGTCCTGACACCTGGGTTCTTGGTGGTGTTGGGGATGTCAACAACGACTGAGTACGGAGAGCGTCACAGCATAGAATAAATGCCTTTCAGGAGATTACTGAGACGAGCTCCTCACTATTAATTGTTGAAGAAACTACTCAAGATGCTCTACTGCAAGGAAATCCTGTAAACATCAAGATACGCATCCCATCCTCTTCCATCCGCATGGAGGGGTACTTTTGAGTGCGGGGGGTGGGATATGATGTGATGTGATATCCTTATCAGTCTTCCGTCTTCAGCATCCATCTGCAGGTTAGTCTTCTCGCGAGCCCTGAAGGTCCGAATTGGCACACCCTTTTCCCTCCCTGACCTGGTATCTCTGCGCAGGTATGTATGTATGGACATGCAAGTTTTGCCTCTCGTCCCACTGAGGCGAGGGATCGGATAAGGTTGGAGTGGAGGTATGTTATGTTACATCAAGTAGGTCATGTACCTCTCTCTCATCGTTTCTAGACCCCTCTTTCAACTTCCTCTCTTTTTCGCTCATCCTTCTTTGAGTCTTAATTTGGTTCCTCGTTGTCGTAAAGACTGAAGAGTACGTATGGCGGATTCGTCTTCGGATCCTGAGAGGGGGAATTATGGGGATGAGAAGCATATCGATGGGAAGGGGGGCGAGTATGTTGACAGAGAAAATCTTGCTGAGAGTGAGGTTCTTGAGTTTAACGAGACGAGGGATTTGAGGTTTGTAGTTCGATTTGTATTTTCGCGTGTTTAAGTAGGGATGTGTGTTTGCTGATGTTGCTAGACGGGGTCTTGGTCAGAGACATATTCAAATGATCGCGTTAGCTGGTACGATTGGAACTGTGAGTTTACTTGCATCTAGACCTCGAGGTTCGCAATGACTGACTAAAAAGGGACTATTTCTCGGTTCTGGGAAAGCTCTTGCGAGAGGTGGGCCTTTGGGTGCTTTGTGAGAGATTCCCCGTGCTTGTGATGGAATTTAAGCTGATGTATTGGAAGTATGGGATATACCATAGTCGGTGTCCTAGTAACTGGTGTAGTACTCAGTATTGCCGAACTAAGGTACCTCGCTGCCTCCCACCTCATCTCCCCTACATCCTGAATTCTCATTAACAAAACTCGCAATAGTGCACTCGTCCCCCTCAGCAGCGCCATCATCCGCCATGCCGAGTTCTTCGTCGACCCAGCTCTCTCTTTCGCGCAGGGATGGAATTCTATATAAAACTACATGGTTTCCCTACCAGCATAGATCGTGGCGGCCGCGGTGATTGTCGAGTTCTGGAATACGCATGTGGCTTCGGCTGCTTGGATTACTATCTTTGGGGTGCTGCTTGTTGTTAGTAATTTGTTGTTTGTGAGGGTGTATGGGGAGTTGGAATTTACGTTTGCGAGGTGAGTGAGTTCTGGGATGTTGAGTCGAATCTGGAGATTCAGGGCTGATGAGATTACCGCGGATAGCTTGAAGATTTTGTTGATTATTGGTATCAATATCATGGTGAGTGGTTTGTTCACTAAGTACCTTGTACCCACACTCGAAGGGTTGCCCCATTTGGAACAGCTTAGGGTGCTTCAAGTTGTTAGGCGAGAAGATTTTGAGGAGTTGGAATTTTCTTCTCAGTCTTCTTGGTTGATGATTATGGATTAGCCGAGAGTGACCAAAAACAAAGCATGAACCTGAGAAGAACAAAGCACCTTTTCATCTCATCCTCATCTGTTTACCTCCCACTGTCCGAATTTGCAAAAGAAAAAGCGTTTGCTAATCTAATGAAAAGGCACTTGTCATTACCTGCGGTGGAGGTCCAGATGGCCACCACTACGGATTCCAATACTGGAGAAACCCCGGTCCTTTCGTTCACTACCTAGGGTACAAAGGTTCCTTAGGACAATTCATGGGCTTCTACACCACTCTATCGAACGCAGTTTATGCATATTCGGGAGTTGAAAGTATATCCCTAGCAGCAGCAGAAACCCAATCTCCTCGTCGTAATATCCCAATTGCTGCGAAGAGGATATTCTTCCGGGTAGCTATATTCTATAGTAAGTTGGACAATTCAAAAGTTGACCATGTGAGAGGGACTAATGTGTTATAGTGCTTTCTATATTCATGGTTGGTTTGATTGTTCCAAGTAATGACAAGGAATTGCTGCAATCTACCGGAAATGCTGCTCAGAGTCCTTTCGTTATTGCGGCTACGAGAGCGGGTATCAAGGTTGTACCTTCGATTATCAACGCGGTTATACTCACATCTGCTTGGTCGGCCGGGAACTCAGGTAAGTCGTTCTCAAACCACTTCTACCTAAAACACCAATCATCCCAATCCTAACTCTTCTCCAGGTCTCCTAGCCGCCTCCCGAACCCTCTACGGCATGGCCCATCACCGACACGCCCCCAAGATCTTCCTCCGCACCAACCGAATGGGCATCCCCTGGGTCGCCGTCTCCTTCATGTCCCTCTCCATCTGTCTCGGCTTCACGACCGTCTCCGACTCAGCCTCGACCGTCTTTTCCTGGCTCCAGGACTTGGTCTCTGTAGCGGCCGTCATCCACTATATAATCATCTGCATCGTGTATCTGCGTTTCTTCTACGGGATGAAGAGACAGGGTATCGATAGGAATGAATTACCTTGGAAGGGACCCTTTCAACCATACATGGCGTGGATGAGTCTCGTCTCTTTCTCGATTTTGTTGCTTACGGGGGGGTATTTGAGTTTTGCTAGGGGACAGTGGGTTTTCCTTTTATTTTTCTACACCCTTTTTCTGTTGTCTTTCTTTCCTAGCACGGTTCTGAGCTATGGACTAATGGAGAGCAAATATTTGGGACACCGAACTCTTCGTCTCTTCTTACGTAAACATCCCCATCATCATCATCCTCTATCTCGTCTACAAACTCATCAAGAAAACGAGTATCATTCCCCTCGAAGACCTTCCGATCTGTCACTTCCTCGATATCGCGGCGGCGAACCCGGAGCCCCCGCCGAAGAAGAAGAGTGGGTGGAAGAAGTGGGCGGGGATTTTGTGGAGTTAGACGGTATTCTTGTTGATCAGGGACTTGTTTGTTTATCGTGCTTGGTGGGGGTATTTTTGCGTGAAAGAGGGCGGCGCGAGTGGCTTGTCTTCGTTTTTTTTGTTATATGACTGAATTGCAGATGGTTCTGATAGAGGATCGAGATGATGAGTTCTTTGTATAATGCTGTTAGGGCTGTTCTAAATGAAATCAATTCCGGTTTCACAATGAGGGTTGGATTTACTGTAGCAAGTACTCGAGTATAGCTCCGAAAACATTGGTTGCCTTGAATACGTACACCAACTCATAGCCGATTCAAAAGCAAATTTACAGTCCTGAGGCGGTACCAAAGCAGTACGTGAACACCCGAATAGTACCATCAATAACAGGTTCAATAGCCGCCATAAAATCCAAATTTCCTTTAACAACTTTTAGCAACTCAAGTTCCTATCAATATAGCTTCGCAAATATCAACAATAGAAAGACTTAATTTTCTAGTCATTATTGCGTTGTAATTTCATTAATTCATTTCTCATACTCTAACTATACCCACCAATTTCTTCTCACGCGAACTTTTTCGCTCAAGACCACTTTCGCTTAGAATATATTCTTGATCAGAAATCTCGGAACATTGGATTACGTTCAGCATTCATGCTTAATAAGTAGGAGAATATTTCGTATTCCTAAAAATTATAGGAATGATTGATTGACATATCATATTTTGGAAAATATGCTGAACGAACTTGTTACTTGGGTAAAGAGAAAGTGTTTTTTCGTCTCGTTTAGAGTGTGAAGTACTGAATTGCGGCTGGATAACAGCGGTTTCTTTGATTATATTTTACTTATGGGCTACTACGGAGTAGAGCGTGTGTTCTAGAAGAGAAAAATCCGTAATAAATCTGTTATAGAAATTGAACGACCCGACTATATACCGTGGTAAATCGTTCTTAAAGGAAAACGCTAGGTTATAAGGGTAGGGAACGGAACAGTGCGAAACAGTGTGGATTAGGGGATCCTATTTGCTTCTTCTAATACGTAGGAATAAGCGGTATCTCGGACATTTCTCTTCTAGAGACCAGTAGAAAGCTGCACTCTAACTTCTACGTGGCCTGAATAGTGTGATCTTGCCCACATCTTTTACTCTGCCATCCCCCCCACCCATGGTCCATAAGATGGGACTACTACAGTACCAAGTACTCAAACTTTGCCAAAGATAAAAGATCTAAAAGCAGACAGGGCGAGCAGAAAACCGAAGATGAATTGATATCCTGAGAATACGTTTTCTGAGACAACGACGACTCCGAGCAAGGAGGATCAGTGCTTGAACAAGGACCACAAATTCACAGAGATTTTTTGTGATCTATCATCGCTGACTGCGAAAGAAAACCCTCTCCCACGTGGATCTCAATCCCTCGTCATTCAATGGAAGGAAACATTCGAAAACGGTTTAGCCCTTTTCCAAATGCCGTCCTCATGCAGCCAGCCCAGCCAAGTTCTAGAAACCTTAACACTTCGTACTTACGGCATCTATCTCGTACCCTCTTCAAATGCCATCTCCCAGCCTATTCTCCCAACCCCATCCTCTCGCAAAACCTTCCAAAAAGAATCCTTCTCTCAACATCCTCCAAGCCCTTCTCGAACAAAGTGGAGCCCAGGAGATGAAAGTGGAGCTCAACACACCCTCGCTTAATCTCCCAGAAATCTGGAGAAATCCCGCGATGCTCCGTTGCCCGATCCACAAAGCGGATATGGCCGTGGCTGCCGAAAAAAAAAAATAGGACGGACAGAAAGGCTTAAGTGAGACGCAAATGGGGCCGGCCACGGGAAGTTTAGATAGGGGATGCAATTCGGCGGCTGGATGGCTTTGTCCGTTTGACGTGGTATGGAAATAGGATGCTGTAGCTTTGCGTATAAGTCATAGGTAAATATAGCTTCATGCGGGAGCTTGGAGGTCTCAGTTACGCGGGGTTTGGAGGCTGATGTGTCAAACACTTAGCATGAGAATTAAGGGACGAGATATGATAGTATCATAATAGATTTAGATAGAAACTAAGGATAATAGTATCTCTAACACACTGGAAAACGAGGCTTTCGGCTCTCATTGAACATCGCTCCCAAAAAAAAACAAAGTAAAAGTAAAAAGGCCAAATGATAGAGATACATAAAAAAGAAGCATCATTAATAAACTGTAAAAAACGCCCAACTCAAAGTATCCCATGCTAATAAGGTGTATCCCATCGCTAAAAATCGCTCGTATCTGAAAGTAAATGCATCTCCTGGAGACCATTCTCGAAGGAAGGCCACCGATGAGGGAGAGCCGAAAGAAGAATGGTAAAGAAAAGCACTTTTCGATGAATAACTCCGATTTCCCAATGTTGCGCGCGAGCGACTGGCTATTCTCCATTTGTATATTGTTCCAGCTGATGCGTGGTTCTGGTGACCGATGATGCTAGACGCGTGTTCCCTAGCCTGTCGATAGATGCTCTCTAGTACGAGAATGATATGAAAAGTCGTTATATTGCGCCAGAGAAGGATCGTTAAGTAAAATGATCCTTCGCGTGAAACCCACACCCTTTCGCCCCCATTGTCGCCAATCACTCTGTCATTACAATGTACAATCTCCAACACACTCATTAGTGAATGAGTTTATCTTCGGCAAGCGGTACTCCATGAGTCGCTTGGGTAGTTGACTGGACTTGGTGGCGGTGGTGCAGGAGGGCTATAATCGTTCTCACCCATTCTGCTGATGAAAGTGTATGGTGACTTGGCTTTTGAGTTGAGGCTTGAAGAGAGGTAGAGGTTGATGTCTTGGCCGAAAGAAGCGTTCGTCAAAACAGGCGAGTGGCGACGAGGGATCGGGTGGGCGATCGGTGTTGACGTTTGGGAGGGCATTTTGTATGTAGTGGTGATGTTTTGGATATGGGGAATAATTATCGAAGAGAAAAGTCCTCGTCTTATAACAGTAGCCCAGAGAGGATTTTTGGAGACTTCCAACTTTGTGGCAAGCTATTTGAGGAATTAGTCAGATTAATCAATTGTATGAGTCTGGCGGAGCCAAAGGACTGCTGATATTACTCACCTGCAACTTGGGAAACTGTGGAGGAGTGCAGAGTGATCCTTTCGGCAGAAAATACTTCTTATAATACGAGGCGAGCGGGTTTTAAGGCTGCTGGAGAGAAGGACTCTGAAATAGTTTTTATGGAGTGTGGGTGGGAGTGACGACGAATGGATTAGGGTATGGTATGTTGGTCTTCGGCTGTTAGGGTGTGGTGTGGTAACGAATCGCTTAGGGCGAAAGGGAGGCAAAGCAAGGCTCGACTTGTAGTATGGGGCGAAGAGTCGGATTTGGATCTGATTTAGCAAGAAAAGAAAGAGAAAGAAATCTATGGCAAAGGGGCAAAGACCATGAATTTATCATTTCAGACGTCAATCTTTTTTCTGGAACCCCCATGCCGACCCTGCCCTGTCCTGTCATTCCCCGTCTCCCCCGCCCCGGCGCAAAGAAAAAGTAAGACAACTCATCCCTTCCATCACCCATCACCCATCGCCATCTCCACGCCAGCCGGCGGCGCAATCGCTTTTCCACCTCGGCTGGCCCTGTTCAAGAATGGACTTTGGGCCAGAAAGGGCAGCTTCTCGGCTTCAGGCTTCCATGGACCATGGGCAATCTCGTTGGGGTCGGACTCGCTGTGTCTCCCAAAGGTCTTGTGCTCTTGGCCTGGCCCTCACTCAAACTTTCCAAAGGCTGGGCTGTTGCCCCGGATCCCGATGGTTCAGCCCCGGCTGGAATCCTTGGACGGCATTTCCACCCAAACGTGCGAATGGCGAATCGTGTTGCGTAGGAAGTGCTGTGACATCTTGTTCGTTTTCCTGGAGAAACGAAATTGCTTATTTGGGCAATTATCTAAAAGAGGAACGCTAGCCCCATTTAGTATCAGAGAAGGATTGCTTTCGAACTACATCTCATCCCCTGCTTCTTGCCTTGCGTACTCGTAAATTTACATCTTTGGCTATCTACTTGCATGAGATGGGTTCCCTGCAGAGATATTGTTTTGATAGCTATATTTGGATATACTCTTGGAGTTCCTTGTGGCAAATGTTGTAACTCGTATCTGGATCCCCGTTGAAAAGATTAATTTTCCGGCTGCTAAAGTCTATGAAAAGTAAATCTAGAAGTACAAACAGAACAACCGACCGCTTTTTTAACGACAGCAAAACGCCATACCGTATCGCTTAAGCATCCTCCTCATTCGATCGTAAGTTCACTCATAGGATGACCAACATCAGATACCGAACCACAGGAGCGCTTGAACCGGTACATGCATCTGCACATCAAAGCAACCTGCCATTCGGGTGCTCCTCATCCTCCTCATCCAGCGGTGAGCTCCAGAGAAGATCATGTCAACGCGGAGCAAGTATCATGGAGTACTCCGTACACTTGTGCAGCAGAGCACTTTGTCAACCCGACGAACTACAGGACCTCATTGGACTATGAGAGAAGTGCAATACTCGAGTAAGCTGATCAATCATCGCCATAACTTGACTCATTCGGACAGAAGCAGGAGTGGTGTGGGATGGATGGGGGTACCGGGTCTCGGGCATATCTGCCATATTTTGAGGATTAGGATGATTATCTGCCAGAAGGGCTGAGGTTTGGCCGACGGAAAATTGTTGGTGTGGGAGGCAGGGCAGGGGAGAATAGCAGTGGAGTGGATTGCAGGAAGGAAACCTTCCATACTCTTGGCGGAATGTTGGGATTGGGGATGGGGATGGAGACGTGGGGGTGGGGATGAGGAGAAGGGCTCAAGGAATGTGTGGGTGAGGCTTACTATGGACGTGGGGTGCATGGATGTGGAGGAGTGGAGATGGAGTCCGTCATTTTTACCAAGCGAGCTCTGGAGTCTGGAGATGCTTTGAGGAGCAATCCACGAACCTACTCTATCACTGTTTACGGTTCGGTTATCCCTACGGCGTGGACATGGGGACTGACTGTATTGCATTTGCTGCCTGGCCCAATTACCTGCTGATTATCTCGCACACCATCTCATCTCCTCAACTGCACGTAGATCACTATTCTTATGATTCCATCAAATGTCAGCGCTGACACCGCAACAACACCCCATGGAAAGAGTACTGGACTAGGCACTGGCACCGAAAACAACGAAAGGAGGTACTCCGTACTCCAGTACCATACTCCAGTACCACGCTCCATACCTGGATGTGTATGTACCGCAACCTATTCTGTCGGACCTCGGCGGAAAAACAAACATGTACCAGTTAAGAAAGTGATGAGCCTCAGGAAGGGCAAATGAAGATCCAACGGACTTTCAGAATGTCCTGTATCGTTTGCAACATCTCAGCGTCTCATCCTTACATCAGAAATGAGAACGGCCCCTTCCTTCCGCCTTTCCGTCCTGAGACTGCTAATTCGTACTTTGCTTATAAGCATCTCACATTTCAAATCCTACTTTTTGATGCCTGATACTTCGGGATGCGGAACGGAGATAGTGCCAACACTTTCATGCTCTCATCTGGCAAAGCCAAAGCATTCACAAGGCGTGGTCGCAAAGCATCACGGTACTTGGCGTCGACCGCGTTATATTATGTCACAACAGCATACAAGGTCTATCGGAATCAGCAAGAACCTCCCAATCTTCCCTCATTGCCACTTTGCCTACAGTAATATCATCGGCAACACCAGCCGCCAGAGGGCTGGGAGTATCAGGCTCAATTACCAGTACGCCACAACCTAATAAAGTTGCACCGAAGGGTGTTGGGTGTCTAGCAAGCACCTAAATTTCAATACAAATCACTCCTTCTGAGCTGCCTTTAGAGTCGACATACTCAAATTCCATTCGAATCTTTTTTCTTCGAAGTGACCATCTCTTGGACCGGATAAATCAAAATCTGCAGGGCCCACATGATACATGATGTCCCAGTTACATTGCCAAAATCAATGTCCAAGAAGAGCTGTACCCCAGACTTCCCAAGGAGTATTTTTAATCCCACATAGGCTACAGTTGTCCCTAGGGTAGTAGAGCGAGGAGGCGAGCTGCCCCTGAAAATCACTGCGGAGTGGACAAGTATGCCACGCGAGTGAGAAATATTCCGACCCTGAAGGCTTTTCGGGTGTGCATCAATTACGACTTCTGTCAATAGTCCCTCGCTTCGAGGCGTTTTCTATCCCGAAAACTTGCAGCGATGACTGTCATCGGCCCGTTTTGTTGTCTATTCTCGCTTCTTTCAGCTCAGGAGTATTTTCACTGCAGCTCAAAGGGTCAACCCATTATTACAGTACAGTATGTTAGCATCAATTATAGTAGATGGTTTCATCCCAAACTTTTCTTATGTCATTGTGAGCATTAATGTCGGAAAACCGGCACATAGAACTCACAAAACCCCACCCCCACATCTACGTTACCCAAGATACCTATCATTCTTATTACTGACGAGGTACACATAGGCGTCTTGAAATTTGAATCCTTTCTCATTCCCCTTTCTATCTTGCATTTTTTTATATCTAAGGTTTCAAGCGGATTTCTGTTCCCACTCATCAGCGTGCGATAATCTCTTGGGGGTCAACTACTGAACACCCACCACAAGATGTTCTCGCGAGTCTCGATTTCCAATCCCGGCACAAAATACTGAGCATCAGAACGTTTTCAACAAGTGTCATGTCGTGCGACTCCAACCAACCGCTGGGGTGCAACACAGCAGCAACCTGACATTTGACAGTTCACCTCATCCAAACTCTCCTTGTGGCTCCCACATCTCTCAGGGCACCTCTAGAACTGCAGTGGAACTTTGCCCAAATTTCTCTTCTTATCAGTCAATCCACTGGATTCGAAGGATCTTGTAAGGCGTCAGATCCTGATGAACTGTCATGCTGGACAAGGCAGCTTCGCGTCTCGTCCTCGACTGTCGCGTGTAAATTCGCTCTTCTCACCTAACTGTATTTCGACTGTTCCGAGTTGGCGCCACTGTGTCTATGGTTCGCAAAAGAGTTCCGACTTCTGCGCCCCGCGAAGATTGCTGATTTGTTCTCTCAGCAAGGCATCATCGCATCCAAGACCCTGGAATAGCTGATCAAATGCGTGATTCCGAGAACGATATCCAATGGGTCCCGACTAACTCCTTGGGATTTAGATTGAAAGCAAGTTCTTCGGGATCTTTCCCACTACTGATGGTGTACTATTCGGAGTGCGTGGGGTTGAAGGACTTTGGAGGGTTTTTGGTATGGCTTGGATATAGCCTACAATCACTTCAAAGCCTTGTGGCTCCACACTATTTCCCTACCACCCAGAAAAGACTCCAGCAAACGACTGTAGCCATTAGGTTCGCATACATCTTGTGCAAGGCTTGGGACCTGATGACTTGTTCACCCAGCCTTCCCCCACACGGTACGTCTCTAATTTCGTCCAATGTTGACGTCTGGAATCCATCAAATGCGGGTATTATCTTGCATCATATGTTGAGTGGGTCCTGCAATATATATTGTTGGTGTTTGGGATCTGCTGTACATACATTATATTCTTGGCTGAAGTGCGACGCCGTTATCAATTGCCCTTTTCACGTTTTGTTTGTTCTCATTCGAATACTTTTTTTATTTCTCGGATCTGGTTTTTATTATTACTTCGTTTCCTCTTTTGCTCACTCCTGCAGAACAGATTGCAAGACGAGGGATTGTCCAACGTTCGGGCATATGGCTTGCGCAGAGAGGTAATACAGCAAGTATGGGCAGCAACATGTAGATTATGTCTTCCTCGTACTGCCATCCCACCGTTCTTTTCATTTATGTGTCCAATCTCGTTCAAGACGCCCGTTGATTTTCACATGTTTAGGATGCAAGCATTCTTTTCATCCAAATCGTCTTCTACAGTATCTATTGACGTAGCAGTGTAACACATTTTGATGAAAAGTGGGATGTACAAGAAAATGAAGGGGAAGTTCTTTTTCGATAGAGGACGTAAGGGGTGGGAATGGGATAAGCAGATGTGGCGACGCGATGTCCCTGGTTTGGATATCTGATATCAGATTGCATGTGTCTTTCTTCTCAGTAATTGACTAAAAACCCACTAAAATGAGTCAAAAGAGATAGAAAAAGTATTCTGTGATGTTTTGAGACGCAAAATACCAGCTTTGGTGGTTGGAATTCGGTGTGCTATTATTTACGGTCCATATTTGGTGGCAATATAAAAAGCAGTATTTTAGTCACGAAATAGCAGTACTCGGTGTACGCGGGCAACAATGCATAACAAGAGTTGTACTTGTATCGTCATATATTTCATGATTTCACAGTGGGATTATTATATTACAATTGAATTAGGGCATAACCCGAATTAGCTTCAGGCTCTAGTTTCTTGTTTAGCACCAGATGCACCTATTCCACTATCAACCACTTCACAGCCGCCTGCTATTCAGGCACCATGCCGCCGCCAAACATCTCTAAACCCCCCCACCCCCGGGTGGGGGAGGGGAGTGGTCGTCCGCGCTCGCAAGATACAAATAGTGCAGATATACACACAAGACAGGTCATCCAGGGCTTTAAGTAAGACAGATTTAGGGCAGCTGTCAAGGAGGCTAAAAGGAATCCACTTTGGACTCGCAAAAGACTACAGATTTGAGCGTGGGCTTGAATACTTGTAAGAATGTCGCTTAAAAGACCGCTCAGGATTAACGCTCGTCATCCGGATTTCTATCTCATTCTAGAAACCCCTCTCGAAGTATTCCATTCCATTCAAAGAAGTTCAAGAATAATTCTATAGAATTTCCATAAAGCAAAACCACGTAATCCAGGAAAAGGATCCGCTAGTCTAATTGCCCAATGTAAAACTTTCATGTTATAATGGCACCTCTATCTATGTTACTGATTTGTCGCATCTACGTTTCTCTTATCAAGGTAGAATTTTAACTATGTTATCGCAGTTTTATAAACCAATTTTAGCATATTCATCTAAACTTATATTTGTTTTATTTATTGTACCGAGGTGTGTGCTAAAAACCATCACTTTACATCTTCTATAGCTGGCTCCCTTACTAGTCAAAAGTCCCTAGGATTCTAGAAGTCATTTGATAGAATATTCCATCAGTTTGAAAGAGGTCCAGAATTCCTTTAGAATGTAATTCCACCTGCCGAGTATTGTTTAAGACATCGCTTAGGTTCAAGGAATTAAATAGAGCTCGATGCTCAAGATGTAGCTTGCCAAGTAGGAAGAGGCAGTTATCGGAGCGACATATCTTCACTGCAATAAATCTAACTGGGTTTTGATTTAGGTGGGAATAATGCGTTCCACGTCAATACACTTGTGCTAACAATACTAGTGAATCACTGCAAATATATAAGTAGTACTATTTCAGCCTGTGGCAGTTAAACCGCTATGAAAAAGAATTGTCACTTCTATTTATTACATTATTCTAGTGGTATTTCTGTTAAATGAGATGGCTCAGCGCAAGGTCTGAAGGACACTAGCGTCCTTTTGAGCGTGATTTATCATTCTTTTCGATCAGGGCAGCTGGGAAGAATCCAGGTACTGTGGGTAGGTGAAGGGAATGTTTACGTGAGTTCGGATAGAAAATCTTCAATAAGGATATAGTCAGGGCTGGGAATGCTAAGGATATAAACGGGGATATCCTTATGGCATAGGCGACGATAAGTCCCATAAAGGGGGTGGACAGTCAATGCTGGACACTGTCATGTAGATCATATGTAAAAAAAAAGTCCATATCGCCCAGATATGAGTCTTTGTCAGCTAAAAGGCGGGGCCGAGACGTACTACTTCGTAGGACCAGCGACAGTGTATAGCTTTAACTGTCTTACCCCTTTATGTAAAGGGTCTCCAGAGGCTCTAGGGAGCCCGCGTCTTCCCCATTGCATACCACTCGTTGTAGGGTGGGGTTAAACCCACAATAGTCTTCTATGCCATTTAGATTGTCCGGTTCATGCGAAAGTATATTACAAAATAACAAAAGGGGAGAGGCCCGAGTAGTCCAGAACCTCTAGGTATTTCAGAATATAGAATCTTATAACTTATATAAGGTTAGAAATATATAGAATTCTGTAATCCTCATCGCTCATTTCCAATTCTCTACCGGAAATGTCAGGTTTTCAGTTAGATTCTTATGGGTTTACCTAGACTAGTAAAAACTTCTAGGGATTTGGTATCTTCCAAGGATAAAAGTGAAGAAAATCTGTATATAGATTCTTTTTTGAGACCTAGAAAACGTAAATATCTCTTCTTAGGATATCCTTAAATCCACCAAAACCCCACCAATAAAAACAGAGACCAACATCATAAGGAAATAAACAAGAATCTCCTAACAGTGAAGTATCCTTGTATCGACTTTTTTCTTTAGGCTCTGGAATTCTGTCTTAGAAATCCACGTCCTCTCTTGAACTTCGGTTACTTTCCGGCATTGCCGAGCCCTCTGAGTGTCGGACAGTGTGTCAAAATGGAAACTCTTGAACACAAAAGTCTGTTACCCCAGCCTTGCTAATATCTGTCTTCTTTCGCCGGTTTGTAACTGGTGGTACCAAGTGACTAATCAGTTCTGCGCTTGGTAAGTTTAACTGCTCATTCTTGTCATAAATAGGCTTCACTTGGCCTAAAAGATCTGGTATCCAAGCGATGCAAATTTTTGTACAAACAAGACGGAGGAGCACCACTACCGTGGTATACCGTGATAAATCGTCTCTATAGCGTTTGGGTAGGACGACAGTGGATAGCGCTCAAGATTAGCAGAAGTTGGCAAGATCACCTTTCAGGCTACTCACAGGTCAGCTTTCTATGGGCCCCTAGGTAGCAAAATCCAACTGTGATCTTCGACGTATAGTAAGATGGCAACCTACGAAGGCCTTCACCGCAGCCTTCTAGCTACTCAAAGTCTCCGGGCAACCCTTAGTACCATCCACTATCGTCCCACCCAAATGCCATAGAGACGATTTACTTCGTAAATTTATCACGGTATTGTCTCTACGGAGACTCCAAGGAGAATGCATAGGGGGACAGTGGAGCAGCAAAAGTTGGCAAGACTTCTTTTTGAGCCACTTGAAGAGCAGCTTTCTACGGGTCCTGGGGCAGAAAGTCGCAACTACCGCTTATCCTGATCTTCTACGCAGGATTAGAAGGATTTCTGACCACTCAGAGCCCACAGAAAAGCCTTATTTATATCTACTCTCGCGTACCGTAGCTTTAGAGAAGATTTACCACGAGTTATAACGAATCTTGCTTCACGGGTCTCGACGGTTTCCAAAAATACAACACATGAATCTTCATTTTACCATGTTAATATTGCTCTAGAAGTATTTGTGAGAATGAAATTTTCTACCGGTACTCGAGTAAACAAACCCAGCAAAAACTATTGCTTGTAAATTATGCTGGTTTCACCAAGAGTCTTTGAAATGTTGTGGCAGTTGAAAAGATCTACTTTCTCCGTGTAACTTTAACGGCGGACGTCGCGGCCGGCAAACTCTACTTGGCGATCTTAATGTTGTAACAAGTTTAAGACATTACCACGCCTTGTTACGAAGCTTTATTCTACAACCTTGATGGCAAGAATGAGTAGCGTCGGTAGTATTACAGCTAAGGCTGCGTTGATTTACGCAGATCATACGTGAAAAGTCTATAACGCCTAGGTTCGAATCTTTGATTCGCTGGTGCCGGAAAAAAATCGGGGTCAAAGCACGCCATTAGCTGTTGGTAACCTCAAAGTAGAGAAGGTTCCACTAGTTTCGGCATAGGGATCGACAACGGAGTATATTGACAAATCAGAGAGCTGCGTTCTGTAGGGTTAAATACAAGCTTGAAGGGAAAGTCGTTAAGGTTTTGGATCTGTCCAAAAATAACCCGGATTACGGCCCAGTTATAAAATTCTGTATTTACAATTTTGACAAAAGATGCAGAGTACCATATGGGCTTTGGAAGGGTGGTCTGTACCATGAAAATCAAATAAAGCCCTGTGAATGTGCGATGGGCGAGAAACAAGGGGTTTAAAGATATTTCGTCAAAATATCCTTGGCTTGTCGATTTTCTTTCCGCTTGCCAATTGTCCGCAGGCACCTGATTTTAGGTTTCATGAACTTGGCATTTCCGTTGATCGGAGGCGACGTTGACAAGCACGCTTCATCTGCACTCGCGCTTGGACTTCGAACTCTTGGATGCTTACGCGTAGGGCTTTTTTTTATTTAGAAATGGGATTCGAAGTCTACACTCAAAATTGAGTTTCTGGTGTATCTTGTATAAGAAGGAGATTCTATCCAGCAATACTCACCCTTTTTTCTTCACCACCTTCGTTTCGTTTCTCTCTTCTTTTCTGGTGTGCGTTTTTTCCTTACCACCACATTCGTTTTAACTTGTTTTACCACCAATCTTTTTCTTCAAAACATTCTTTTGCAACAAGCAGCCTTCTTTTCAGCTACTTTCTTCTTTCACCATGTTGGCCCCTAGCGTCGTAGCCGTTAGTGGTCTTCTTTTGACTTTGGTTGCTGCAGCACCCATCTCAGGTGTCGTAGGTCTTGAAAATCCACAGCCTCTCGCAGAGAGAGCAGTATTGAAGTTTTCGAAAACCCCAAAGAAAAAATCGAAAGAACCAGATAATGATGATTACGGAAATTCTTGGGGCGCAGGAGGCTACCCTCGACCCCTTCCACCACCACCAAGCGCTCCTCCCGGACCCCTTCCAAACGACAGGTCCTTCCGAGGCCTTAAGCAGCGATCAGTTGAGCCTCTCGCAGAGAGAACAGTATTGAAATTTTCGAAAACCCCAAAGAAAAAATCGAAAGAACCAGATAATGATGATTACGGAAATTCTTGGGGCGCAGGAGGCTACCCAGGACCCCTTCCAAACGACAGGTCCTTCCGAGGCCTTAAGCAGCGATCAGTTGAGCCTCTCGCAGAGAGAACAGTATTGAAGTTTTCGAAAACCCCAAAGAAAAAATCGAAAGAACCAGATAATGATGATTACGGAAATTCTTGGGGCGCAGGAGGCTACCCTCGACCCCTTCCACCACCACCAAGTGCTCCTCCCGGACCCCTTCCAAACGACAGATCCTTCCGTGGCCTCAAGCGCTCAGTTGAGACTTCCCCTAAGGACGCTGGCGACGTAGAACCCCTTGAGAAGAGAAACGGTCTCTTGCACGGCGTCCTTGCAGCAGGGCTCAATAAACTCGGTAGGCTCCCGCCTCCACGGCGTCCGCGCTTACCCTCCTGGATGAAGAAGCTAAACCCCAAGAAAAAGACTAGTGCAAAGGCCAAGAGAGACACCCTCTTCCCGGAATCCCTTGAAAAACGCCAAAACATTTTTGCAAATCTCAGGAATGCTTACAAGAACTGGCGAGCAAGAAAGCAGTCACCTCCCGGAACCGCCCAACCTCCACGATGGGTCGACTTCGCCGGCGGTGACCGTGTCCGTCGTCCAGGAGGATTCTAGATTCCAAGGATTGTTTTCCAGCGGACCGATAGAATTGAATCAACACTCTGCCATACTGGGTCTTGGAAGGGATGAAATGGTGTGCAGTGCTCGGTTTCTTGGCACTGTTTTGCCATTTCAGCATTTGGGAAGGGGCTCTCTAATGTCTACTACGTGTAATGTTTTTTCATTTGTTGGGTTTGCTTTTAGTGTATTGTTTGTTTGCTTTGGAAAATGACAGAGGGAGAAAAAAAGATGGTGTGCTTGTGTTTCTGCTTGGGATTTGTCTTCTTAGTCTCATTGACTGCTCGCGAAAAAAAGTTTTGGATTAAGGCTTGTTTGTTGTATCGTTCGTTTTGTTTTCTATAGATTTGGTTGGGTTGTAAAAATATATATCTTTGGCGTTACTCGACTCAAATAATCTGAAAACCTGTCTGGTGAAAGTACTTCAAGGACGAGTACGTGTCTGAAAATGCTCCGAGGAGCTTCGATTTATTTGAAGGCAGATGTAACGAATACTCAAACTGGCTAACTAAACTTGGCTGGGTGTTCGCTGGTTGGTATGCTATGATAAGAAGAAGACTATCGGGTTGTTCACTTGGAAGTGAACTCGTTACTTGTATCAAAGATGTCAAACTAATATGATAAGATTGATAACTAAGTTGAGCACGAAGCTCCTATCTAATGGCAGACGTGCCAGTCTTATATAGAACCTTCATCCTCAAGTACTATGATCTGGGTAGCCAACTCGCCTGTCGAGCTGGCGGTCCGTTTCGCTAGGTCGCCGAGCGATCCAGCGATCCAACTTAATCATGTGACCATAACCAATGGAAATCCCTGGATCGCTTAGCTACCCTAAGCGATCCCTATTTGCTATAAGAAACCTGGGTATGCCTGTCGAGGGTTGCGCCTCTTATTATGACAAGTATCACGTGAGCACGTGATTCGTGACAATAAGGCAGGAACTTTAAAGTGTACTTATAGATGCTATTAGAGAGACTTCTTAGTATTAAGATTAGAGTATAGTAGGATTTCTTTATTTAGAAAGATATCTTAAAAGACGTCTTTTATTATTTATATAATTAAAGTTAGGTAGGATAAGTAGTTTAGACCTCGCTTATTATATAGCTAGATAGTTATATATCCTATAGGGTTTTAGTAAGAGAATTAAGTATATTTTATATTATAATATTCGTAAGTATAAGTCTCTATTAAAACTACGTCTTTAGTTAGATATTTAAGGTTTTACGCCTACTATTAGTATTAGGAAAAGTACGCGTTAAGGAAGGTTTTATACCCCGGGCTAGTATTAGGAATTTCCTAACGTTAAGAGTTAATAAGTTCCTAGAGGGGCTCTTTAAGGCAGGCCACTCATTTTGTAAGTCTCTTAAAAACAGCTGCACAAAATCGCATCGATTTTATTACGAACTTCATATGACGAGGACCCGAACGCTGCTTGCCATTTTTAGAGCCTTGAAAAGTGACGTACTAATGTCGTCTTACTCAAGCAAACCATACCTAAAAATCAACTTGGTCTAAATAGAAGCGAGTTCGAGAACATAATATCTATCATAAGCTATTTATATGAAGACGTCTACAGTCACTTAAAAGCCAATCACATCACAAGAACCTCAGACGAAAGTAAAGTCTCATTTGGAAGATTGGTAATCTGAAATTTGCATGCTTATGGCACCAATTTCCTTTCCTCGCAGGGTAGCAGCAGAATCGCTAACCACATATCATCCATCTCCATACCCCGAAGAAAACAAGAATGCATCCCACTCGCAATCTCCACGGATCCCATCCCGAAAATAAAAAAGAAAGTCCCGCAAGCACCACACCACGCCTGGGAAATGCAAAGAGGAATATGTCCCTCCATTCATCCATCCATATATGGATCCCCATACCAGCCCCAAGCACCAGTCATCTCTCAATTTCAAGAAAAGAAAAGAAGAAGAAGAACCCCCCAACGAAAAAGTAGACCATCCCATCCCGAAACGCCATCGCAATGCCAGAGTTGAGTATACCGATCTGTTCCTCTCGAGACAAACATCCATTTATTTTGTCTCGTCGATAGATGAGGACGAAGCATTCATCAATATGTACCGGCCGATATGATATGCACTGGCCGCACGTTCGTATATGCAAAAAACCCCCTTCCCAACCGCTATCGTTCATCTGTGCAGGCTACAGGAGACTATTGAACGATAGTCAAAAAGTGAAAATAGGAGAAAGAATAGAAGAGACGTATAATCGAGAAAAGAAAAGAAATAAGACGGAAGATGATGATTACAGTTCCCGATAATCACTCGGTCTTGTCCGTCTCTGCTTTCCTTGATGACGATGTGGATTCACCGGTTTGCGAAAATACGCATTATCCTCTTCATTTGGCAGGGGCTCCGCAAAGATGGTCTTCTGTTGATTTGGAAATCCATTCGCAACTCCCTGTCCATGTTGAAGTCCTACTCCGTTCATTCCCATCACATGCCCTCCACCATTCATGCCTCCGTAGCCTCCCACACCACCACCATTATTATTGTTATACATGTTATTCATATTGGGGAATCCGCCAAACATCATCGGATTCATTCCTCCCATTCCCATCATCATAGGATTCATACCGCCGTTCATACCCATCATTGGATTCTGAAAGTTCTGGTTGAAGAGCGCGTTTTGTTGTGGCATGTCGAAGGGCATGCCGGGGAAATTGGGCATACCACCCATGTTATTCATCATGGCCTGCTGTTGTAGCATGGCTTGTTTCTGAGCTTCTTGTTGCTGCATTGCTTTGGGGCCTTTTGGTATTTTTGGATTCTCAAGCAACTCATCTGCAGGGCGTTTCTTTGATGGGCCTTGGGTAGTGGCATTGGCTGGACCGGAAGGTGGTTTTGGTGATGCCTTCTTTGATGGAGATGATTTGGAATTGGCCTTTGCCCGAGCGACAGGCCTTGGTGATGGCGATTTAGTTGTTCGTTTTGTGTCCGCTGCGGCTGGCGTCAACTCGCGTTTTACAACTGGACTTTTAGATCTCTCTTTCGCCTCAGCTTCTCTCTTGGCGGCATTCTTCTCATCCAAATACTCCTTAATCTTCTTGGATGTCTCATCATCAGGCTTAAGATCATCAATGAGAACCCCAACGGTGTGGCACCCAGGGCAAGTGAAATCGCTCTCGATGAGCGCGTTAGTGATGCATTCATTGCAGTACGTCTTCTCACAACAGGGCGTCTTCATTGGGTCTATGAAAATTCTCTTGTCGATCGAACACTCCAATCCTCTATCCTGTAACTCTTTATCACCAGCAGCTGCCGCCTTCTGCAATGCAGCAGAAGATTTTGTTTTGGCTTGAAATTGTTCCCATGATGCCTTGTCCGGCTCAGCAATTACAAAGTCTCCCTCCGCATTAACCATGACACCTGATGGTAATTTTGTTTCATCCGTTGTGCCATCATTATTGGTCAACGCCGATGGTTTCTCGACAGTCTTCAAGAACGAACGTGGAATACCAGTGGTACGCTTCACTCGAGGCTTGTTGTCAAAATTTGGGTCATCATTTGTAGGACACACTTGAATCCAATGTCCCTTTTCTCCACAACGATAACATATGTACCCGACCGGAGGCTCATGATCTGGAACATTTGCGGGTGCTTGTCCTTTCTTTCCACCAGGTCGGAACACTGGAGTTTGCCTGGAATCGTTAGTACTTTTCTTTCTTTGTTGAAGATGCAGATACTTACGATGCCATCTCTTCTTGTTGAGCAGACCACTGTGCGCCTTGGGCCTCAAACATTGCTGCCATCTTTTGCTCTTCCGTCATGCCAGCATGGATTTGTGTGGTAGCTGCCGCGGCACCCGATTTCGCGGCAGTTTTATTTGGCTCCTTTCGTGATGAGTTCTTCGCATGTATGGGTACTTTACCAGACATGTATCGTGCCGCTCTACCTGCGCCGGGCTTGCTGGGAGGAAGTCGGCGAGCGACAACTGAGGTTGATCGCGGAATAATGGTAGTATCGTCGTCGTAAACTGAAATTATGGATCAGAATTGATTGGATTGATTCGTGGGATGATCACTACTTACCATCTTTTCCATCTTCCGAGTAGATTGCGAGGTCGAAATCTGTTCCATCACCCAAACCGCTCTTGATGATAATATCACGTTTGAGCTCAAAGACAGATATACCAGTACCATCAAACTCCACTCTAGAGGGCTCCTTTTGGGACTTGAACTTGAAAAACACAGAGGAAGCCATGATGCCTTATTGATTGTAAATTGCTGGTTGAAGTTGTGCTCGTAACTAGCGGTCGGGATCAAGTCGAGGGACAAAGGAAGCTTAGAGAGCAGTTTTAAAATAGCTCAAGGATTAGTATGTCGCAGAAAGAAAGGAAGGGGGGTGTTATTTCGTGAATGCGACCGCGCAAGATCAAGATTCTTCTTTTTTTTCCGCTCAGGAGAACGAGGTGAACTCAAATCTGATTGCAATCACTGGAGAGAACTCTTGTGACAAGAACAAACTTTGGAGACGAAGGAGAAGATGTACAAGATTGCAGAAAACTGCTAGTGCGATGAATTGTGATTGTAGACTCCTCCGCAACAAACAAAGCGACGACAAAGCAGATTCCACCGCCAAATAGTGAATGACTCCTCTCCCACACCAATGTTTATTCCTTTCCTACTTCCCAGACTGTGGCGATTAAGTCGATGCGCAGGACGGCGCAGATCTGATACAATTCTCAGGATGATGGTGGAGTTGTCGACACACTAGGGGGCGACTCGTTGATGGCGGAAGATGTTGTTGGGAGGAAGATGAGATGAGGAGAAAGGGAAGAAGGCTGGGGGGCTAAAGGGCTGATTTGAGCCTCAGGCTGACAAACTAAATCACACGTAATGACATCCGCGCTATTCAGATCACGTGTCAGAGCTGGAATGCCAACCTCGGCTCAAGATGCCAAGCTCCTGTTTGTTCAGCAGCTGAGCAACAACACAAAGAAGGAGTGAAGCGAGGAGGCATCAGCAGGAACCTGTTTAGGCCAGGCTGAAGCAAGAGAAGGCATGAATTGCTGCCATTGTAATATACAACATGGGTGAGGCTGACGTCGCTCCTTCCCTCACACCTCACCACTTCGTCTCAACTTGCCTTGCGCTACTCTGGCTAGCACATGAGCTGAATTGAGATAGGAAGGCACAACTCACAAGTCCTTGGAGTATTGCCTCGTCCCTCCCCTTCTTCCAGCCCCCTTTCGCCCTCCATTTATATACACCTTTTGACCATTGTAAATAATTCACAGCGAGAGCAAAAAAGATGCCGCTGCCAAAACATACGTTATAGGTATCTCTGGCATCGGTTCTCACTTGAGCAAAGAGACTTTTTGTCACAGCTGAGACATATATTTTATTGTGCTTATAACTCTATGTATGTTCGATTGTCTTGAAATTGAGTGCTGTTACTAGTTGGCCTCGGAGTATCCCCTCTACTACTGCCAGAAACACCCTAAACTGTGCACAATACTAAGCGATATTGTAATCTAATAGGATCTAATGTTTTTATAACTTTTAGCTATAAAATATACTATGTTTAATAAAAACTATAGAAACAAGGTCTTTCTTTATATAACTAGATATTATATTTAAAATAAGCGAAGGTTATTAAATACTATATACTTAATCTTTAATTATTATTAGTAATTAAGCCTAATATAACTCTTTTAAGTACTCGATCCTTCTATTATTGTGACGGTTATGGTCACGAGGGCTGGATGTCACATGCTCGCTTAGCGAGGCGCTAGCGCGCACGACCTGTATTTAGTTCCCAGCTCACTAGAGCTCTCCTTCTTTCCTCGTCTTTTGTCCTAAGAATAGAGTGTTAATTGTTCTGAGTTCTACCTGAAGCACGTCTGTCACAATTATAAACTAGTATAATTAGTATAATTACGTTGTATTACCTTCTTTCCTAGCTAGTACTTGTGACAGACGTGCTTCAGGTAGAACTCAGAACAATTAACACTCTATTCTTAGGACAAAAGACGAGGAAAGAAGGAGAGCTCAAGAGAGCTGGGAACTAAATACAGGTCGTGCGCGCTAGCGCCTCGCTAAGCGAGCATGTGACATCCAGCCCTCGTGACCATAACCGTCACACTTTTGAAGAAAGAGAAAGAACATCTGCGGTTCACCCCCCTATAAAATGTATATATCTTACTAAATGGTTCTTATCGAATTTTTTGCCCTATTATCCCCCTTTATATTAATCTAAAACATAAAAGACATTTTCCTAAAGTATTTCTTACTTCTTTTATAATACTACTCTTACCTTCTAGATAAGATATATAATTATTACTCTAAATATACCATATAAAATCATGATACTAAACGTCTAGTATAAGTAACTTAGTTATATTAATCATTATATATTAGAAAGTATATATAGTAACGGTTATTCTAAGCTATATATATAACTAAAAATAAATAATGTAACCGTGTGGAGTGAACCACTGCTTGCTGTGATGAATACGGAGTCAAACGGAAACTGCTGTATTGAGCGAACAACAAAGTGAGGAAGGAAGAGAGTTCCAGAGGAACGAGAGCTTAAATACAGGATGCCAGCAGCGCGCACGTGACACATACTACATGCTGCGCTACACGTGATCAACCCCTAGTTCCTCCAACTCCGTAACATAGAAGTATAGTATAATAACAGACTTTATTATTCTAGATCTAAATAGAATTATAGTATGTAAAATACTAATATAAGCTCCGATAAGTTACGTCTTAATTATCTTGCTTTATCTTTATAATTATTTATAAAGATAAATAAAGAGATATATACTTAACGCTTTATATATATCTAGCTTAAAATAATATTATTCTAAAAGCTTTATATAATAGAATTATTTGTTACGGAGTTGGAGGAACTAGGGGTTGATCACGTGTAGCGCAGCATGTAGTATGTGTCACGTGCGCGCTGCTGGCATCCTGTATTTAAGCTCTCGTTCCTCTGGAACTCTCTTCCTTCCTCACTTTGTTGTTCGCTCAATACAGCAGTTTCCGTTTGACTCCGTATTCATCACAGCAAGCAGTGGTTCACTCCACACGGTTACATTACAACAAAGTCACCTCTTCGCCTGGGAAGGCCTGTTATAATATCCCACTTTGTTTATTTGTTTTTGGCTGACGATAATCGATTCGACGACTTAATTCCGACTCGACATCATCCTCAGTATCACCACGTTATACATCCCTGAAC